TCATCCATTAATTCGCCCCCAGTGAGGGGAATACCTGATTTGCAGCTGTCCCCGCTCACTCCTTGGTTACGACCCTCCGTATCCTTGTCCTTCTTGCTTCTTTCTTTTATTATTATTCAACATTAATATTCGCACTCTTCCTCCTCCTATTATTCCCCCATGCCTTCTCATTTCACTGCTTCACTTATCTTTTTTTTTTAAAAAAAATATTACTTGTGTTTTATTCTTCAACATAATTGGTGTTTTTCATTCATAAAATTGCCTTTTTTTTTCATTTATATTCTATCAAGCATGCCCAGTCAAGTTTTGATGAATTATATATCTATCGGTGTTTGCATCATAACCGAACAAAGCTTCGCCATCCAATCCAATACAGTGGTTTGTATTCCACACTTATAACAACTACTCTCTTCTGTTATGAAATCCTCACAAAGCCCCTGTGAATTGCACTCAACTAATATTCTCGCTTTTGCTTGTGAATCATTTACTCACTCTTCCTACACCTCACAACTCTACCTATGCGACACCTATTAAAAGCATAACCAGTAATTTGGCACAGGTCAAGCTTAATTCGGATTGAGCCCAAATAAATTTGATAGTCAAGTCAATCCAAATACTCGAATTATCATTTGCCCCTGGTTTTAACAAACTTTAAATTTTATTTTAAAATTAATTATTTTTGTTATCATAAAAATTATAAAATATGCTTTTTAGAATACTTAAAAAGTACATGTGACTCAACCTTTTTAAATAATTTTAAATTTTTTCGGTCTTAATATTAAAAAATAAGTATTAAAATATATTTTGAATATTATTATAAGTTAATTTATAGATTAAAAATAATAAAAATATTAATATTTTTATTTTAAAAATAAAATACCTATCAAAATGTACTCAAATATACAGTCTCTCACTCTAAAAAGTAAGTTAAATTGAAAGAATTAATTAATATTTAATATATATTTGTAAACTTCTATTTGAATATTCGGGCCATCCCAAATGGGCTCAAACATAAAAGTATATTTGTTTGTCAAAAAATATAAAATATTTTTAATTAAATCTCACATGTAATAAAGTAATTATTTATTTTTAAATTAACTCTATCTTTTTATATTTATCCTTATTTAATAGAGTGTTTTATTTTAAAATAAACATGAATATACTTTTAAAAAAAAGATAATGATTATATCTTAAAACGTTAAAAATATCTTACATTTTTAATGGATGGAGTGCAACTTTTTCAAACCCAATCCTAGTTTTTTTTTTCAAGTTTATTCGGGTTAACTTATCAAAATAAACCTGAATTACAGACTTAGGTTAAGAATTGGTTTCATAGATAAAAAACATGATTTACGTGGTTAGCAAATTAAAAACAATCAATTTTATAACTTGGTTAATCTTTCGTATTGATCTGAGGCTCCATTTTCAACCGAAAAAACCATCAATTCGAACTTTGTCGTCATTTTTTTTTTACCATCAATTTCACTGTCGATATTAGAATTTTGTTCATATAACCAGTCTTTTAACTCGTGACGCCCGCCTACTCCTAATTAATGAGCTTCTATGACTAAATTAAACTTACCAAAATGATATGCAATTTCTCTATTATTTAACTTTACGCGTGTATTCTCTCCAATTTCATTTATAAGTTATCATATTGTCCATGTATAAAAGAACAAATAATAATAATCTGTAAATTTTAAATAGAGTTAAATAAATTATGAATTTTTTCATTATTTTAATAGATATGTTGAAAGTAATTTAATTTATAAATGTAATTCAAAAGAATATGTATAAAAATATATATGTTCTGTTTGATATAGTGAAAATGATTTTGATGAAAATAAAAATAAAGATAGATATTAAAATAGAGTTGAAAAATATGTTTGGCGTGTTCATGAAATTAAAAAGTTATTTTTATTTAATATTAATGTTAAAAAATGAAAAGACTAAAATGTTCTCGGCCCAAAAATTTTGCCCCAACCCAGGTCGAAGCAAAAATTAGCTAGTTGCCACCGTCGAAGAAGAAGTGAGCTTCAACTAGATACCATTATCACCATTTGAGATCCAAGGATGAAGGTGGTCTGAGATCTGCAGTCGGAAACGTGGGTCGACCCATTAATGGTTTTCACTTCACTTCCCAATTCAGGAAGACAGAAATCGATTGCGTCTTCAAGTACTTTAGTGATTTTGCTTGTGCTTGGCCCTTTCTATGGTAGGTTCGATTGGATTAATATCTCGTGCTGCACATGCACTGTTCTCTCTGTTTCTATGCTCTTAACCATCCTTCTCCGTGTCTCTCGTTGTTTGCAGGATCGTTCTGGAGATCACAGGCCCTAGTTGTTGGAGGTTGCCAGTGCTGAGACGTTCACCAACAATGGGAAGGTTGATAGGAGCTGGATGAGAGAGGAAGGGATGAAAAATGAAAGATGAAATTGGAAGACTAAGGTTTTGTGATGGAAGTGAATTCCGCCAATTTTGGTAGGACTGAGTTCTATATGGAATTGATTTTCAACAAAAAACAAATCACTTTTTAAATTCCATGTCCATTTATTTTAAGGCCAAAATTTCAGAGTACCAAAAGGGATCATACTTACACTGGAACAGTCACCGAAATTTTGGACAGCACTCTAAATTATAAATTTTAAAGTAAAATACATCATGAAATAGGTCAAATTACATAAATTATCATGAATTTATTAAGAACAGATAATTAAGTGCAAAACTTGGTATGATCAGCAGGGAATACTTAGATATAGAAAATAAAAGTATAAGTATATGATTCTTTTGGGAGAATATAACTTTGTATTTATGCATTTTGCTCGAGTTTTATTATATGTCCCTACATTTTTTTTATATTGATATTCTAGATCTCTACACTTATTTTTTTTTTTGGTGTTCTAGGTAGGACTTAAGACATATGAATATGAACCAAAACATTAAAACAAATTGCAGAGACCCACACCAAAATTTAAACAAAGTTAGAACTCAAAGTTATTGTTTCTTACAGACAACAAAAATTATTAGGTGTGTTAGAGATACTAAGTCTCAAAAAATAATAAAGAATTCTCACCTCCCTTATCACAATTTACTTAAATACAAAGATACAATAAAATTAAAATAATGAGTGTTTGATTAATAAAATATGCAAGATATAAAATTGTAGAGGATACAAAGCAAAAAATAATGTTGAAAACTGTCTCTAATATAAACTGAAATGCTAGAAATGGACATTGAGAATTGATTGTTGTTGAGGTACCTTTCTTTGTTGCTATTCTCAGACTTATAATTCGCTAATGGAGGTCACAATCTTATAAATTTAGAGCAATCTTGTAAAATTTAGAGCTTGTTGAGATTATGATTTTGTGAGAGATAATATTCTAATAATGGTTTTAAGTTTAAAAAATTAAAGAGCCATGCTTATTTAGCCAAACTAATTTACATGATGTGGACCGTGGATCCATCATTATTAATCTCTTTTATGTTTAATATTTTATTGACTTGACCTAATTTGTCTTTTATTCGTTGTCCCCTTTTGAATGTATGCTGTTCAATTTTAGCCTAAATAGTTTTGTTTTTTCCTGCTTTTTTAAAAACATATCGATGCTATAAGAGGGAAAAACATCTAACGGAAATAAATTAAAAACGAAGGCGTAGATGCTAATGTTACTAACTTACTATGACTGAGAAGGGGGGGGGGGGGGGAGACGAGGGTCAGAAAAGAAGTGCGCAGGTCGTTGGTGCGACGTGCGTGTGACAGAAATGGTCGCGGATCTGTTGATCATTTATTTCCTCTATTCTCCACCCGACAACCTTCACTCTCGCTCTTTCCCCATACCCCTCCTCTTATTATTATTATTATTATTTTAAATCCTCCGACACGTCACCTGTATTAGTCAATATAATAACCGTTTTTTGCCGCTTTTGATCATGCAATGTATGAATAATATATACACATAAGTCAGGCGATTAATAAATAAGGCAGGGGGGGAACTATTTTTAATAAATTTGTTACGATACGGATGCAAAGATTTAACTGGTTTCGATAAAAAATAAAAATAAGGGGGTGTAATGAGGACTAAGATGATATATGCGCAACTATAACTGGCATGGCATCATAAGGAATGAGAAAAGACGGGAGGAAGCTACCGAGCACAGGTCTCGAGGAGGGATGGCTTCCGGGATCCGTACGGATATGGAGTGACCGGCAGGTGTCGGTGGGGGAGTGGGAACGGGGCCGATTAAGTGGTGGTGGTGGCAGGTATACAGGCTGGACTGACTGGAAAGCAGCAATGATTCGCCCTCCGATTCGGCGACCGATCTTGTCGTCTTCTGCCACCTCAGCCATGGTGGGCCCCGCTTTCTAATTGCCGCAAGCAAAAGGACGACACTTAAAAAATCCCACGCGAAATGCCCTACAGCCTGGATTCCTCAGTCAAACTCAGCCTCCGCCCCACGACTTGAACAACAAACCCAACTCCTTCTCTCACCTCCTTTCTCATCGTTATCCCTTTCTCCTTCGGAATTTTTTTATTTCCTTCTTTTGTTGTCTCTTAAATAACTAAATATATTAACGTGTAATTTCCGGTTCTCTACTCTCTCCTCTCATTAACTTCCAGAACCGTTGTAGCCTCAACAGATTCGACGACCCGCTTGCTCTGTCTCCGGATGCGTGAGGTACACTTGCCACTTGACCATCGCAGCAGGCCGGTGGATGAGGCAATGATAAAAGCAGGAGCGGGGGAGTGAAACGGACGCCCTGCGCGTGGGCAGAGGAAGAAAGGACAAGAGAGGATGAGGATGACTTGGGTGAATGGAAGCAGCTGAGAGGTGACGCGTGTTCCAATGACAGCTGTATCCCAAATCCCAAACTAACCGCCTTCCCTGGAAGAAGCGGTTCCAATTGCCCGCAACGCCCCTTCCCAACTCCAAAACTGAACCTGCTCATCCGGTTTCCTCTTCCGCCCTCTCTCTCACATATAAGCAGCCCTCCACCTTCACCAATTTTTCATTGTAACCCAACAACTTCACGCCACTGAAACAACCCCCCCCCCCGGGGTGATCTTCTTCCTCGCTGTTTCTTAGCCATCTCATCTCTCCATCTGCATTACTTTTCGCCTCCATTCTCTTATGATCGCCGGCTTTTGAAACCGACATGAATACGGTCGCTTCCAGGAAGGATATGGACCGGATTAAGGGTCCCTGGAGCCCCGAAGAGGACGACGCCTTGCAGAAGCTTGTCGACAAGCATGGCCCCAGGAATTGGTCCTTGATCAGCAGGTCCATTCCCGGTCGATCCGGCAAGTCTTGCAGGCTTCGCTGGTGCAATCAGCTCTCTCCCCAGGTCGAGCACCGTGCATTCACGCCAGAAGAGGATGATACCATCATCAGGGCTCATGCCCGCTTTGGCAATAAATGGGCCACCATCGCTCGCCTCCTCTCCGGCCGAACTGATAACGCAATCAAGAACCACTGGAACTCTACCTTGAAGCGCAAGTGCGCCTCCATGATGATCGATGATGCCGGCGCTGTGGGTGGATTCGATGGCAGTTTTAGCCCTCAGCCGCTCAAGAGGTCTGTCAGTGCCGGTGCCGCTGTACCGGTATCCACTGGGTTGTGCATGAACCCGCCCACACCGGGTAGCCCGTCCGGGTCGGATGTGAGCGAGTCCAGTGTTCCCGTTGCGTCTTCTTCTCAAGTCTATCGACCTGTCCCCAGAACCGGCGGAGTTCTGCCTCCCGTAGAAACGACGTCATCTTCCAATGACCCGCCTACGTCATTATCGCTGTCGCTTCCGGGCGTGGACTCTTCCGAAGTCTCCAATCGGCCTGCAGACACAACACATGCTGCACTACCGGCCAACAGTACGCGCTTATTATCCGCAACGGCACTGACGGCTGCTTCGACTCTCACGCCCACCCCACCTCCGGCTCCGGCATCCGTTCCGATGTCGGTGCCGCAGCAGGTTCATTCGGGTAGGGATGATCGAGGATGCGAGAGGGGTCCGTCGGCGGCGAATCAGAATGGGTTCTTAGCTTTCAATTTCAGCGCAGAGTTGCTAGCTGTGATGCAAGACATGATAAGGAAGGAGGTAAGGAGTTATATGGCGGGGTTGGAGCAGCAGAATGGGGTGTGTTTTCAGACAGCTGATGGATTTCGAAACGCTTCGGTGAAGCGTATTGGAATTAGCAGGATCGATTTATGAACAAAAGAGGAATCGAACAGAGCAGGGTTGTGAAAAATGCGGATTGGGGACTGAGAATGAAGCTTCGGCCTTTTGTTTAGGATGGTTTTAGGCAATAATTTTGGGGTAGTGTAAAATGTAAATAGAAATAGAGAGACAACGCGTGGTTTAGCAAGAGGGCTGGGTAAGCCGGTAAGGGGTTAGGAACAGAAGTTAGAAAGGAACTTCATTTCCAGGAGCTGAGGAATGAATGAATATTCTATGGGTAACAAGTCTGAAATTTCACCGACGTTTACCGTCTGTGACTCCTGTTCTCCATGTCTGGTGGGGGCCCCAAAAAGAAAACAAGAAGAAGAAGAAGAAGAAGAAAGAGAAGACACGAGGGAACTGAGGAGAGATGTAGGATGAATCAAATCCGTAAATCTGAATATAAGTTAAATCTATTTTCCTTATCTGCACTTCTAAATTTTAATTCATGGCACCGAAGGGTGAACCTGTTTTCCTGGCTTCAATATACTGAGACATTTGCAAAATAAAATGCTTCGAACTAGACACTGAAAACAAGACAATATATAATGTAACTTCAGTCTCTTGCCTAATATTTTTTTTGGTTGCTTCCGAATCTGGTGATGTTTTCCTTAAATTCTGAATTTGATTTTAATTCCAAGCCTTGAAGAAGTTTCAGGGTGAGGATTCTGGGACCCTGGTTTTACATATAAATTGACTGAATCCGCTTTCTTCAAATTGTCGTGGACAATGAATAAAAAATAGGGCTGCACGGGCCTGTAAACGGATTAACGGATTCACTGCTCGAGTCTTTGCGTTAACTGCATCTGATGTGAGAATTTTGACTCGTTCAATTTTTTCGGCGGAGTCTCTATTCTATTCCGTTGGGTTGGAATTTTAAAATTAAATTATCATAAAATACGAAAATGAAGAGTCTTAACTACGATAAATGTCTTTTTATTTTAATTGGAAATACAAAAAAAATTAATTTAGACGATGGAGAAAAGTTTCAACAGCAAAAACTAAAAACAGAAGTTACAATAAGAACGAATGAAATTATTCGGAGTTACACTTTTTGCCTTCAACTATTCGTTCAAATCACTGTTCCTATTAATCAAATTTTATGTTACAAGTAAAATTTTATTTTAAATATTCACATTTTGTCATCAAACACCACTCACAATTTCCCGGTTTAAAAATATTAGATTAAATTAAATGACTCTTTTTTGGGGACACAAAAAAGACTCCAAATTCTCAAACATCACAAAACTAGGCTTGAAGTTAGGGAACCTTTTGGGGCAAGGCCAGGGGAGGGTGGAAGGAAGTTTGGGGGTTGAAGAGCTCTAATGGAATTGTTGGGAGTAACAAAAATTTGATGAATGGTGAAGCAATGGAGCAGCCACATGATGGAAGCCTCAAGTGTGATAAGAAATGTAATTAAGTAGATGCCTACAAACACAGCGAACCTTCAACTAACTACACAAGGAACGGAGTTGAGCTGGTTATCCGTTACCATGGCCGGTGCTGGTGCAACACAGCTGCCTTGTTGCATCATTCTCAACCACGCCTTTTTAATGGCCATTACATAATATGCACAAAACCTTCTCTTCTTTGTCTTAATGTCACCCTCTTTGCGAGTAACATATACGTAACATATGCACCTTTCTAAAGAGCAGCCATGGAAATAGCAGCCCCCAATCGCCGCGTCAAGTTGACAGCCAACAGACTAAAGGATAAAATCATAAAATTTCACGGCATGTTACTTACTTTCATCTTCGAAAGATGTCTGACTCTGATCCGAAGGAAGTTACGTAACTCTTGATTTAGTTTTTTGTTTACTTTTCTTTCTTTGTTTTTTTTTAATCATTTTCGGTAACGCAAAGCGTAACCTTTATTTTAGACTTCCAGAAAAGAGAAAAATGAATTTAACGAAATGCATTTTTAAATTAAAAATTCAATCGTACTTTTACGAATAATAATAATAATTAACACCGGGAATATGTCTTCCGTTCAATTTCTAATGAAACATGTGTCTGATCCCCCGAGCATTCAAGTTCTTGAGCTGTCCTGTCTATCGCTTTCAATAGACTTGCTTTTCTATGTGAAGTTCAATATTAACCAGCAGCACTTTTTTGCCTCAATACATTTGCAAGCTTAGTTGTAAAAAGTAGATACGAGAGAGAGAGAGAGAGAGAGAGAGAGAGGCTCGTTTCGAAATGATCGAGAATGTTTACATCTGCGAGATAATAAAAAATGGCTACTAATAAAAAAGTTGGCCTATTTCTCAATATACATACTATCTAACAATCAGCAGTACTCTACTTACAGCCAAAACCTGAAAACGCTTGGTCACAAATTTGCGGCGTCCAAGGTGCTCGGGTTAGTGTTGTTTGTCGTGAGTGAAAGAAGTCTAGATTTTATCTTCTTTATCAAATGCAGCATATCCTGCCTCCACGACCAAGCTGGTTCATGCAAACCTCGTACGGAATTCAGACAAACAAGCAGGGTTCCACCTTCATGTAACAGAACCTACATTCATGGAAACAGTTAAATTGGAGACTTGAAAAAAAGACCAATAATGCAAAAATAAGGGAGAGATGCAGCCAAAAATAAGGGTTCCATTCCTACTTCATTATAGAATGCTTTCTCCAGTTCATGAAGCAAAATAACATTTATTTCCCTTGCAAAGACTAACGGGAGATTTTTTTTTTTTTTCCCAGCTTCATTCCTTCTTCACCATGATAGATTTCTTAAAGAGAACAAATTTCCTGAAGCACGACCAAACTTATTTTCCTTGCAGAGACTCATGGAGGACAAACAAGCAAAAAGGAAAAAAAAAAAAAAAAAACTGCATCAAATTATGAAATTGAGTATCATACCGTTAACCACAAGGGCAAAAATCCCAAGACCGACGGAAGAGACGCCATGAAAATGCTGGACAATGCCAGAGCCACGTTTTGTTTAATCTGCAGATGCACTAATGTATAAGGAAAATACTATCCAACTGCAGAACGAAATAACACGTCAAAACATAGGTGCTGTAAAATACCAGTGAAGTTGTTTGGCGAGACTTCGCAATACAAAATGGTACTGCAGAAATATTTTCCCGAAGCAACAGCACATCTGCAACTGCTATGGCAGTTGCACTAGCACGATGAGCAAGGACAATTCCTACTGTTGCAGCAGCAAGTGCTGGGGCATCATTAATCCCCTCGCCAACCATGATTAGGCCTCCCCCTGCGTCGATAAAAAATCTGTTCCATTAAAATTTGAACACTGAGAGTTGAAATAAAAGAAAATACAAGACACATTAGGGGCATACATAGCATACAAGCAAAACCAAACTCTAATATAAGAAAGGATAAGTGCATTTAAGAAAGACATCTAATTCAGTTGTATTAAATTCAAGAAGAGTGAATCTGGTAGAAACACGTAAAATAGTTCCTCTCATAAGAAATATGTAAATGGAAACACCTCAGTGATCCCAACATAAGCAAAAAAATGACAATTGGAAGCAATGCATGTAAAGGTGCCCCCCTCCAAAAAAAAATAATAATAATAATAACAAAACAAACAAACTAAAAAGAAGAAAAAGGTGAATAAAAAAATTTCAAGTCAGAAAAATAAAGAACCTCAAAAGGGAAAGAGGTTCAACCCCATACAAATATATGTGAAAAAATATTACAATAGGGAAAAAATCGTGAAGAGATATTAAGTGATTAACGTATTGTAGTTTAAGGAACCTACCCATATCCCTCGAGATGTCCTTCACATGACTCAACTTATCTTCAGGCTTCAGGTTGCAATAAACCTCATTGATGCCGACAGAACTTGCAACTCTCCTTGCGCTGGACTCATGGTCACCAGTTAACATCATCACGCGGAAGTTTGCTTCATCTTGCAACTCCTTTATGACATTAGAAACCCCAGATCGAGGTCTGTCCTCTAAGTGAATCAGTGTTACCTGCAGCAAGTGGATATTTATTTAGGTTCAAGTGAAAATGAATGAGACCTAAAAATATGACATTATCATAATATAAAGAGCTGTACAATAGTCCAATTCAAAATAAGAAGACTGAAGAAGGACAAAATATTAGCATATATATGTAAGGTGAGAGACTTGTATGCGCAGGCCGTCTCCTGTGCAAAAATGGAGTTTATTGCATGAAACTATCAGCAATTCAAAGTAATAGATTGCTTCACACTTCTAAAAGGTTCAGAACTGCACCCTCCCCAGGAAAGAGAAACATAGTAAACTTACAATATACCACCTTTTTGTCAATTGAGAGGGCAGCATGAACAAATTCACTTCCAAAAGAAGATGCATTAACTGCTTCCTTGATCCTTTTAGACTCGTCTTCTGATTGACATAATGAGGTGATGAAATCTACAGATCCAAGTGAGGCTTTCAAGAGTTTGGCTCCTCCACTTTCTGACTATACCAAGACAAAACATCAATTTAAGTCATTGTACATGCCATGCATTCAAAGATAAAATTGAGAAAGATAATACTGCATTCACTTGTCACCTTAATGAGTCATATTATTATATTAAGTAGGCCCAAGCATTGACGAAAATGGCTAGATAATGAATGTGAAACATTAAAACGGTGCAGATAGAAATTGCAGAATACTAAAACTGCCAGACAATTCATGTAAACAGAATAGCAGAGATAAGTAAGCCCACGGCACATACTGTGGTTCACTCTTGCAGTTAAATTAAATACGTAAGCAACCATTGATAATGTAATACCTCAATGCTGTTGAGAGTGGCAACAAGTCCTCTACCAGGAAAATACTCAAAACTTTCAACAGAAACAGACGGGAGGTCTTTCCCCTCACTGTGATCAACAACTGCCCTGCAATATTTCTTCTCTCAAAATAAATATACCACATAGAGATGACGGAAAAAAATAATAGTATTTACGAATCAGGATCACATTTCACAAATTTTTGAGATGATGCAACTGAATTTATTAATTTAATGTATGTATGTATGTATGTATGTATTCTTACAAACAACTTGTAAATGTAAGTTATGGAAAGCCTAAATATCAAATAAAATGAATAATAAAAATGTGTGAAGAGCCGTTTTGAGCCTAAAATCAAAACTGTTAAGTGAAGATCCATAGTTTCAATATAATATCTAACATGTCCTCTCACACGAAAAGCCTCTAAGGATTCAAGCCCACTAAACCTTGTGTTTCAACTTAAAATTTAATTGAGGATGAGGGGCAGCATGGATTGTACTCTAACCATTTGAATACAAGGGTTGCAATACCAGTCAAGAACTGTTCCAATTAAGAGACCTAAACTATTAAATAAAGTTCCATGAATAGTTTTAGGCTTGTGTAAACTTATATCTCAAAGTTTCAAATTGGCCCTCCTACTAAAAAGTCAGTCAACGATTCCAATTTTTGCCCTTTTTGTCAAACTTTCCATTTATATTTAACAATTTGCAGAATCACGCCTATTATATGTACCTGACATAGCTAACACATTATCTATGCCAGGTGATTCCGGGTAAAACATGGGAGGGCAACATTATCCACTTTTACACTAGAGAGGCCAAATTGAAACTTCCAAGAAAACTACAGGAACCAAAGTTGTATTTAAGCCATAATTTTCTTATAATATTTAACAGAGAGAGAAAAAACCTTACGGGGAAGACAAGGGTTCAAAAAATATAAGGAATTCATTGTGCTCAGCAGAGATACCTTCCAATGGGGTGAGTGGTACCCTTTTCCATGGCAGCGGCAACAGCTAGAGCTTCTTTTTCACAGCTAGGAATACAACAGGAAGAAATTTTTGTTATGTTATTTCTAACCATATGACCATAAATTGGTTCAATTGCCTTAAATACAAGGCCACCAGTTGTCAGTGTCCCTGTTTTGTCAAATGCAATTGTACGGCAAGAAGATAGTGCATCCAGAACATGTCCACCTTTTAGCAATATCCCCTGCAAATTAACATAAACAATAAACCCATAATAAAGGGGAGTGTCACCCTATGCAGCATTCATGGGTGTTACAATTTGAACAACTTTATACTTGACTCCAGCTAAAGAACACACACACAAGGGTTACATATTGTAATCAAAATTAACCAATTGCAGCATTCAACTCATCTTATAAACAGAGCTCTTCAGAAATCTTTTAAAGATGCAATAAAAATTAGTTTCAACATTTAGAGGGTGTTACACGTTTCTCTGATAGAAGCATGCTTATGCTTTAGTTATTCTGAGTACATCTGACCAACTTTCAAGATTACAGCTGGTGCTTGAAATTGGTACTTATAGATGCCATGGGATGGGCAAAAGGTCTTCCACGAGAATTCCCATACTTCTTAACAAGCTCAGAACAGATAAGGAAATAACCTTCCTCTTTATTCAAGTGGTTTAAAGGTAAATTACAGCTCCAAACTTCTTCGTATGCTAATCTCATAAAGTTGAATGCTTGGACTTTCACAACATTATTTATAAGGGCTACATTGCTCGCGCATAAATATTTGAAATTTTACCTAAGCAGCTAACTTAGTGGTTAGTGCTATATGTTGATATATACAAGCATTTTAATTATAGACACATTGCTAAAGTTAGCAAGCAAAAATGCATGTGGAAGCCCATACTTGATCCAAGTCGTAGGGTTTAATAACTTGTTTGCAGAATTATTATCCCACCCAAAACTAACAGGTTCAGAAACTGCAGTATCATTATAGTTACAAACATTATATTAAATAGAAAGTTAAAAGACACAACAATATTGACAGGGGACAAATGATTAGTAACTGAAACAGCACAATGATAAAACTTGAAAGTCTCCCACGAGAGAAGTTAAAATTTAAAAAGACTAAAACAACAATTTAGAATATCAAATATATTTTTCAGCATCGACGAAGATAAACATGACATGTTTTATGACATTTCACAATCAAAATGATTAACTGATCAGCACCAATGGACCCAACTATACCTTTTTTGCGCAGGAGCTGATTGCTGTAGCATATGCCAATGGAGCTACGGCCAAGGCACATGGAGATGCAGCCACCATGAGGCCCAGGGCTCTATAAATTGAACCCCTGCAAGCTGCATAACCATACAGTAAATAAGCTGAAGGATTGATGTTAAAAATTACATATGGATGTGAAATAAACGATTTCTTTTTAGGATGCTAGCACACTTAGTTGAAATTGGACAAGACAGGAAATCCAAAAAAAAAAAAAACAAACAAACTGCTCAGCTTGTAAAAATGAAGGCACCAAATAGAGAAATTTTACAAGCTATCTCATAAAATACCAATTCCAAGCTATAGTACCAACTAAATATCGGGAAAATGAGTCTATTCATTTCAATAAATCATGAGACCCTGCATGATTTATAAGATTAATATTATAATTGACTAATTTCATAGCTGAGGTCCATTATACCACATCTTGATATCTTTATAATTAAAGTGATAATTTGTCAATAATAATATTAATATTTATAAGAATTCAGCAAGCTAAGGTGTCTGTGCTACTTGAAAGAAGTAGTAACAATTAAAGGAAAGGAGAAATTGGCATATTTGACCTCAGCTATGAAATTTATAAGAAAAATAATGAAATTTTTACTCAATAAGACAATATCATTTGCAGTGTAGAAATTTTCAATACGATAACAAACAGAACCAAAGCAATAAAGTACATTGATAATTACCTGAGGTACTAATAAATGGCCACTTGAATATAAGTGGCCCAATGACAGCAATAGCAACGGATAACACCACAACAACTTTGCTGTATTGCTCACCAAATTCATCCAGCCACCTTTGAAGCTTTGGTCTATTCAATTGTGCTTCTTCAGTCAACTGCACAATCCTGTTAAGTGTTGATTCCTTCCAAGTCTTTGATGCCTATGATTCCAAAAAGAAGTACCTTCCGGTGGTAAGTGCCTAAACGAAGCACAGTTTTACCTGGACAAGACAAGTATCTATCCCCAGACAAGCTGAACAAGGAATCAACTGACAAGCTAGCACTAGCAATTAGGGTGCATAGTGTCAGGCCAGTTTTTTTTTTCCTGGCTCAGTGCATGGCATGGCTGGCATCAAGCAGATTTTTTGAAGCTTGGTGTCTCACTTCACTTGTAACATCACCCGGTTAGGCTAGATAGTGTCAAGCTGACCAGTTTTTGGTAAGAATTTTAATTCAGACCCCATGTCCTTGTAAATTTGCAGATTGCTTGGGGGAAAAATTCACATATGCAATTGTAGGCTTTAAAATTACATTTTTCCATTCAAAGAAAATCATAAAAGTCCCTATATATGACTCAGTTTAGGTGGGCTAAATTGATAAACATGGTCGACGTAACATGAAACTCAGCACTTGATAGGATACCACTACGACATACTCCTTGTATCACACAGTTTAAGAAAGTTGATTAATTATAATAATTATGTTTAAAAATAAAAAAATTGAACTAAAATGCCCTATGTTAATTAACATAAGCCCGCATTAATTATTTCTCGTTAATGTAAATTATGAGGGGTGCTTTAGGAAATGTATATAAATAGTTATTCAAATGGGTGATTTTGCTTATAAAAAAATACAAGTGAAAAGTGATAGGTTCTCTAATAATAAAAAAACAGAGGGAGTATTTATTATGAGCTGAGAACATACAGCTACTCTTGCTACCTACCAAATAATATCTCCTTAACCGACACTTACCTGCAAGACCTTTGAAACACAATCAACAGTCAACCCAAAATTTTAACTACACTATCCCTGCCACCAAGTACCAACACCTTACTACAATTGTAGCTACCCAAAATTTTGCATTATCAGTTTGAACTCTTTCTCCCAATACAGCAACCAGTCTCTATCTCTCATTAACCACCTCCTCCACAGCATCCCCACAAACTTATCTAGTCATTTATGCTGCTCACTACCGCTATAACCACGATTACTCCATTGCAGTAAACCTTTCATGGTAGAAAAGCAAAAAACTTGAATCTAAGATCATAGAAACAAAAGATGAAGAAAGTTTATCACACGTCCAAGCATTTCTCTTACCAAACTATCCAAACATAAATATACACAGGCATACCTTTATAATTATTCTCCCATCTAAATTCCTCGCACCTCCAGGAACTCTGTCTCCAACTCTAGCCTCCAAAGGTTTGACTTCTCCAGTCAGATGCTCAATGGTAATTGTAGCACTGCCTTTGAAAACTTCACAATCTACAGGCACAGACTAATCACAATACCATTCCCATTATTCTTTTGATGTATAAGACTCAACCCCAAATTATATGCATGGATATGTGCTCTGTTGTGTGGGAGGCATACATGTGTATGTGGATCAAGTCTGCTCATGGGAAGCTTTCAATAGTTTAGATATGAAATAGCGGGAATCTTTAAACAACAGAAGCAAAAAGAAAGCACATTATGAAAAGGACACAAAAGTTCCTATGAAGGGAGTGCAAACGACTGGTAAGATATGTGAAAAGATTGGTCATACAAAAATTAAGTTTCCTATTTTTCATCTGTGAAGCTTATGATTGCAATATACGAATGCCTCATATGATAAACATTGACAGCTTCAATAAACATCCATATGCCAATGAATTCATAGTATTAAATTGTGATTAGAATGAATAGTTATGGCATGATGATAGAGACTTGGTAGTATGGGATACCAAGTCCCACATTGAGTAGTATGGGATGCTCAATGGGGTATATAAGTGGGTTGGTTCTCCCACTTCAACAGCTAGCTTTTGGGGTAGGGTTCCCCATCCCACTTAGGTACTCATCAATTGATATTAGAGCCTCATTGTCGGCGGTTCCGGAAAGGGCTACCCATAGAGGGTTCTAACTAGAAGGAGACCGAGTTAAGTACTGTGGAGTGCAGCCATCGGGACGTCGGCTTTCCATGGGGGGCCAATTGATAGAGACTTGATAGTATGGGATACCAAGTCTCACATTGAGTAGTATGGGATACTCAATGGGGTATATAAGTGGGTTGGTTCTCCCACTTCAACAGCTAGCTTTTGAAGTAGGGTTCCCCATCTCATTTAGGTACCCATCACATGATAAGCATTTAAACTAGCAAATTGATTTTGCAGCTTGATGTGAGTAAGGGGGAAAAAATTAACAATCTCATTCCCCACCCCCAGGGGGCTCATTTGTTGACGCATGCCAACCCTCTCTGTTAAGAAATATTAGATTTATGGGCTGATAGTCAAGATTTCCTCCCTTCTCTTTATTCTCTATATCCTTAGGAAACAGGCGCACAGTGCCTGTCTGTTTCCATAATTATAGGCAATTTGATCCTCTGTATCAAGGGGATTAAGTTTCTGTACCTCTATATATAAAAGGGTGAATCACCCTTCATTCATCACATGAACGAGAGTGGGCAATTCCCTCATCCCTCCCTTTTTGGGGAATGGCTGCAATCACAATCAAGTGATTGAATGAGTTGGGGACTCCAAAAGCACGTGAAGGATAAGCAGGTGTTTCAGGAGATGGTCTCAAAAAGGGTCCGGCCTTGAAAGAAGAGAGAACTCTTTATTCTTATTTTAGTCTGTTTTCACACCTTTTATTCATTCATACTTTCTTCTTTTGTTTGGATACCAAAATGTTGTTCTATAACCTTTAATTACAATGCAGTGAATCATACACCAGAGTATACTAGATCTGAGCAGCCAAAATTGGAATCAATAATAGCTAATGGTTCCAGTCAAGACTGCTTAATTATTTGGAGATGACAGATGCAGACATAAGACAATAGTCACGATTTTATCATCCGCTAGAATTTCAAATGCCATTTAAGAAATACTGCTCAACAACAAACGTATTAAACTCACCTCACCAGCTCCAACCAAGATAAATGAGCCTACTGTCACATCATGCACAGGAACCCTCTTGTATGCCAAGTCAAAGGTATTGGGAAGTTTATCATCACTGTCAGTTTCCAGCACAAGGGCAAAATCTGGATTATTGTCCTTCAACTCTTTAACATCAATCATAGAACGGCTGGTGAAGTACTCCTCAGCTGCAGAAATAATTCATTTAGACAATCAAACCTATTGAGGATCATGCTTTGTTAAACAAAGTTCACCAAACGGATTAGCCTATATAGATCACCTATGTGAGCCAGATTAAACATGGCTAGAAGTAATCCTCCCTCCAAAGAATTTCCCATGAATATGGACGCAAAGGCTGCCAGAGCCATCAGCACGTGGATATTTACTTTTCCACTGCCAATTTCAACAAGAGCATCTAGTGATGCAGGAACCTGAAACGCACAACGTGTTTGATTATTTTGGCATGAAGCAAATCCTCTGATTATAGTTGTACCAATAACTCACACCGGTCAATGAATTATAAAACCATTTGCTTTTCAATCTACGGAACTGATTATGAAATAATATTTCGCCACAAAATAACACTATCATGTCAGGCAGACGGAGAACAAGATATTGGAGTGGAAAAATAATAATATACCCCAACTAAAGGAAAAGCAATGAAAATGAGAGCATTTTGAACAGGCTTGATGACGGGCTTAGGCAAGGTATGGGGGCAAATGGCAGCAGCCACGAATAAAGCCGCTGAAAAGCAGCATAATTGCAAATGCTCCCTTAAAAAATCTGCCAAGTCTATCCATCTGGTGACTTTGGCGAACCCGAGAATAGCTTTTTGAGGTCCAGTAAGATTCGCACAATTGTTGCCGTGTGAGTGGTGGTGACAGCCGTGATGGTCGTGGTGAGTTTGATCGCTGTGTTGGTGGCGATGACCGTGATGATCGTGCTGGCTTCGATCGCTGTGGGGGTGGTGATCAGTGCTGGATTCAGCGACACAAGGCAGAGGGCGGCGGTGAAGCCCGAGAAGTTTGCGAGAAGCAAAGCGGCTGCCAAAAATGGAATAGTAAGAGAGGGAGCGTTGGATGAGAAAGGATTTGGAGAATCCAATACTCTTGGCACCCTGGTACAATACAAGTGACTGAAATTGGGTCGACGGCATTAAACTTGGGACCGCTTCCATTTGCAGATTTGAAGAGGGAGGAGGCTCAGCTTCAGTTTTCAGGCCATTACCAATGAAGCGGGGAGGGAGAATCTGAGAATAGAATAACCGAGTTCAGCCTAGTCACGCCTCGTTAATACTCCTAAGTCCTACGACAATGTCTACTCTTTAACTTTGCGGATGAAGTGAACCATTCAGTTCGTCGTTATGTCATCCACACCACATCATGTGCTCATCCCAGTTAAACCGGTCCCTTTGTGGGGGCATTGCCGCATTGGTCGATGCGAATTGCGAAACACAGGTAGCCTTGTGACACGACTCTAAAAATTGGTTATAATAATAATAATATATTATTATTATTATAATTATCATATTTGAGCTAATTAAAATTTAATATTACGAAAGAAAAACGACGGAGAGGAAAGTTCGATGCAATTATTATTATTAGAATCAATAATCATCATTGCTTTAATTAAATCTCTCACTTAATCTCTTGAGGTTTCCTTTAAAAAATTAAAAAAACTTACATCCCTATTAGAATCAATCAATCAAATGTATTTATGATAAAATTTAAGTGCTGAGATTTAATTGGAGAATTAAATATATTATAATGGATATAAGCAAATGGACCTAATTTTATTAAATCAATAAATAAATCTCTCTCTTGCCTTACAATCTGTGTAGTGTGTGTAAGCACTTGTATAAAATTTTGTCCCCGTCCCCCCTGTGTTTATAAGCACTTGTGCAGAAAATTTTCAGTGTGACGGACCATCTTCCTTGAAAAAATGACAATTAAGAACCCTCCAAGGATGTTAATCTCAATTAAAGATCATAAAATTTTGATATCTTAGTTAAAGATTATGATCCTTAATTGGGATAAAAAAATATAATTTGCCTTAAATGAGAAAAAAAAATCAATTATGTTGAAATTTCAATTATGTTATTTTCATAATATATGTTAGTAATTTTCTTTCGTCGGGTTAGTGAATTTTTAAGTAATGTTAGTAAATCTCACCTCACATTAGTGGATCCCAATTTGGCTAAATCACTTTTTGTTAGATAATCGATTTCTAAATAGGGTTTCATTTTTTTAAATATAAATTAAAAATTTTCTTAAGCCTGATAAGTGAATTTTCAAGTGACGCTTTTTGTTAAACAATTAATTTTTAAGTGAAGTTTCATGTTTTCACAATATACATTAGAAATTGTCCCAAATGGGTTAGTAAATTTTCAAATGGTGCTTTTTGTTAAACAATCGATTTCCAAGTGAAATTTTATGTTTTCATAATATACGTTGCAAATTTCTCAAAACGAGTTAGTAAATTTTCAAGTAATATTAATGAATTCCACCTCATGTTAGTGGATCTCAAGGGCATTTAAGATAAATTATTTTTTTATCCTAATTAAAATCATGGTTCTTAACTAAGATTTTAACATATTATAATTTTTAATTAAAATTAATATTTTTATAAGATGCTTAATTGTCATTGTCCCATCTTCCTTCCCCTTTCATGGATTTAGTTAATATTTTATTCAAAAAATTCTTCAACATCGGAATTGGTGGTTGGATTTTCATTTCAATTAATATAAAATATAAAAATTAATGATTAAAAATTATTTTCATCTTTCAACTTTATCGAAAAAATTATTAAACACTCAAAACTTAATTATTATAAGTTAATTTTATTTTTTAATGTTAAAAATTTTCATCTCTTTAATATTAAAAATACTTAATAATCATTTGTCTATCATTAAAGGGTTTCACTATTTTTTTTTTATTTTTTTGAATTTAAGGTCAATTTTTTTCTTCAATTTTCATAAAAAATATTATTACACACTCTCAATTTAAATATTTTATAATAAAAATATTAAAATAATATAATGTAGGCAGGGTATAATAATAGCGAATAGACATGACTAAAGCTTCAACGATCCAACTTTAGCTTTTCATTTTTATCAGGGAAAAAAATCTCGAACAGGTTGCCTAGAGCACCGTTTTGACTGTGAGATAGAAGTCAATTTATTTACTATAATATTTAAAATCATGTTAATGTAAGTTTTTTTTTAAAAATACTTTCTTGTAAGTTTACCTAGTCAAATAGTCAAAAAATATTTTCTTATTCACGAGGCATGAAACCCTGAATTTTCTTTAATCCCCCGCTGTTCCTATGTTAAAGAAACATAGCATGTGCGTTACATTTTAAACTAAACAAATTTAATATTTTTGGAATTGAATTATACCACTAGTCATATCACTACAATGTCCATATCATCCTTATTCACGTGGTCTGTTCCTTTAATTAAAAGACAATACATTTTCTATCGTTTTTTAATAAAATGGAAAATTAGGAAGATTAGTCAAATATAATAGGAAAAATAATATTTTAGGATCACTGTATAAAATTTATATCTCACAAAAATTAAATGATTTAAAATAGCTCTACAATCCATTGATTCTTTTGACATATTAATTCTATAAGTAAAAAGATTATAGTTAAAAAAAAAAAAAAAGAAAATCCCACTATTGCTAGCCATCAAATCACCGCCAATAGTGAGGTCACCAGTGCTCTTGCTGCCAAGGGAGGGTTTTGATAATAATCTATTTATAATTGATAACAATACATTGAAACATTTAACAATTAAAATGAGCGAAGTTTTGAAGCCTATAATTTATAATTGTTCATGTAAATTAACAAGTGACATCTATAAAATAACAATAATTCATTTAAAATTAACAAAAATTTATTATAGTTTTAACAAGTTAAAAAAATTGATAGAAAGAATTTAGTTACATGTGTTAGTCATTTATTAACAAGTATTCATTTAATTTTGACAACAACCTATTTGTGATTGACAACAATACATTAACACATTTAACAAGTAAAATGAATAAAATTTTAAAATCTCTAATTTATAATCATTTATATAATATTAACAAGTGACATTTATAAAATAAGTTCCTTAAAAATTAAAAACATACCATTATGTTATTATATGAAAATAATTTTGTGCTTGATTTACTACTTATATATATATATATATATATATATTTTCATATGTTATTAAAAGGTTTGATGGCCACCAAATTTTTTAAGTGGCCAAGAATAATGAGATCAAACACTTTCTTGATCATTTAAAAAATTTATTTTTAAATGAAATATTGCTGGCAATAGAAACTCCAGTGACGTCACCGCTGACATTGGTTTGATGGCAGTCAGGGTTTCTTTTTTTCTGTTTTTTTAATTACTTGAACAGTATTTATTTTTTTTACTTATAAAATTAATATGTCAGAAGGATAAAAAATTGTAGAGCTATTTTAAAATCATTTGATCTTTATAAAATATAAATTTTATATAATGACCTTATTTTCCCTAAATAATAACGGTAAAGATATAATATACATGCCTCACGACACATGCACTCTAACGATAAGATATATCCATTAAGACGTAATAATGAAATAACAAATGCCATGGTTGATGTTAGAAATTCGAATTCTTGGGCTCTAGATAATGATCTTGCCAAGAAACTCATCAATTAAAAGTACCCGCTCCTTTTGGGCCAGACCCCTCAATCCTCAAAAAGACAGAAATCTGTTTTGTTTTTTGTTTTTGTTTTTTTTTTTTTTTGGTTGGGGGTTGTCTTGACACACGCCAGCTTGATGACATTTGTTGATTTACACCCGTTTCGAGTGCCATGTGTCTTCTCAAGCAATTTTCCTAACAGAAGACAAAAATGCCTTGCTGGAACTCAAATTCACGAGAGGAAATCAAACTTGATTCCTGCAATGTGAGAGAGAAAGAGGCGCCCCTATATCGCAGTCCGTCCGCTGTCACTATCAATCCACATAACAAACGAACACATCTAATGAGCCCAAAGCACCCGAACTATCAAATAAATTTCAGTTGTATACTAGCATTTGCCAAGATACAGTGTAAATTCTGAAAGATTAAAGAATTAATTAGCTATCACTGTTACAACCACAATTGGGTAGTTTGTCCTGGGAGTCACATGATAAATATAACATTACCACATTGCCATTGATAATGAAAAATACAACAAATGTGATCCAAAAAGATGCATCACTACCTTTCATTCATCTTTCCCCTTTCCTTTTCCTTCAGAAGCCTTTGTGCCATCATATGCTGAAAGAAAGAAAGTACTTTGATTTTTCTGCAAAAATCTGCAACAAACTTGTTCATCAAAACTGACAGCAACATGTCTCTTTTTCCCCCACATCCCAAGAGCAAAGAAAATTAAGTAAATTAAACTATGGCCTCGAGGGCTTATTTCTTCTACATTGACTTGATCGAGACTACAGGTCCCACAATCACCTCGTAAATGCATATTAGTTATCAAACAAAGACATCCAATTCATTAGAGGTAAATCATTTTTTTTTCTGTGCGTGCGTGCGTGAGCATATGTGATCCACAACCTATCCTAATACTATAATAAACCTCCCAAACTACTAGTCATAAAGAGAGATCCGGATCGGTTTTAGAAACTTTTTGTCAATGACATTTTTCCCCTCTATAATATTCTTCTATCCTTGCATAAATGGGCACCTGATACCGGACTTGCTCCCCCAGGAAAGAAAGTCAAAAGGAAAGGAAAATACTAGAACTTCAATGCAAATTTTACAAACGAAAAATTTTATACCCACAGTTAACAAGTAGTGCAGTCTTGAGCTTGAAAGTCAAAAGCAGCGCAAAAGGAGAAATAGTATATTAGTCTTTAAATCATTATTTAAGCTCAGCAGCTATGGAGTATGCATCTTTCATCAAGGATTCAGAACAACGGTATTAATGAGTTGGATTAAGTTTTTACTTGAGGAAGTCGAGTAACTTCTGCTGCAGGTGATTCAGTGTTTCCTCCTCGATATTCACATAAGCCAAAAGCTCAGGCAACTTAACTGCGAGCACCAGAATACAAATGAAAATTTTGAGGAAATAGATATATATATATATATATATTTTTGGTTTTGGTTGGGGGGGGGTGTTGTCAAGCACACATCATAAGTCATGACTGTTAAAATGCTATAATAAATGTGCCGTGATGACAATATACAAATGTTTTCACTAAAATGATGCCATATTGCCATCATCAGACTAGAAGACAAGTATGAGATACAAGCCAGCAACGATTCTATGTTTAGAAGTTATGCATGTACCAAAGAGACGCAATAAATGTTCAGCTCCATATATGGTTGATGGCGAAACATTATCAACAACTGCTTCATGGTATTGCTTCTGTTCTTTCTTGTACAATAGCATCATAGGCAACGCTTTATCAAAATAACACCGAATTCCCTTCAGAATTTCCCCAATTGAATCAGCCACCCTGCATCAGAGAGGTAAATTGAGCATCATTCATCATTAGTGTGATTGAGGTGTCCAGAACTTGCATCTAAGAGCTACAACCAATTGCAAGAGAGAATGAAATCACATAATAAATAGCCAGACAAGAAAAGGGAGGTTTAGATGTATCAATCATAGACAAGAAAATCTTACATGCCATCCTTCTTCGACCTGTATTCAAGATACTTTGTCAAAATTTCATCAACAGTTGGTGAACGAGGAAGTTTCACAAGCTGTAGGACAAAGATCAGCAAAAGACAGGAATCTTTTACGCCTTTAGACAGAGTTATAATCTAATTGAACAGCAAAAAATCAGCCGTCATGTCAGAATTTAAACAATGTTATCCACAAATCTTTAAGCAACAATGAGAAGCTCAGGATTGCTTCATAATTTGTAACTAGTAACTTTTAGATTGATGAACTTTGACCTAGCAATTTAAACTCTTCGAGTTAAAGTGGTCCTTCACAAAGTATCTTTCTCCAACTTGAATTAGATTTCAGCACAAATGGTTCTCCACTGTTTTGTTCACACTTCAAGATTAAAAGACTTTCAAATGAAGGAGCATGTTAGATATAGATATAATGACACTATTTGTGGTCATTCACCCAGTGGCTTAAGCTTTTGGGCTGAAGTAATCTTTGATGGTTTTCAATTTAAAATAGGCAGCTATGACATGATTATAACCCTAGAATTCCAGTGTGAAACATCTATTTAATTTGCACAGAAACAAATAAATCACAATTATACTTCTATTCTGAGCACTAACCCCTTTTTGAGCTTGTATTTAGCATTTAGGATTATATGCATGAAATGCAAAATTTACAGTTCAAATCTGCGTTATCTTGACAAGCCATCAGTTAATTATGGTGGTTTTAACTTGCACAGATGAAATTTGTCCAAGTGAGATCTTCCAATACATTGCTTCCGCCGGCACAAAAACTTGTTAGTAGTTCTGTAACAACAAGGGAATATTAATCTGTTCTAAGGCACTGTCTTTCCTCATTTTGTTTGAAGAATCATCAATACTAATATAAAATATAAAACCTATGGCAGCTCTCATTATTCACAAGCCATAAACAATGTAGCTCATTTCTTGAACTTTACAAAATGCATGGGGCCCACATCAAGTTTGATTTAAATTACTTGAAAAATCTTTGTTTTATCTTGCCTATATCCACACATCACCGTACTTTCATATGCCAACAGAGTCAAAAGAAAATTTATCAAATCACTTATCACATAATCAACTAAATTTAATCCATTCCAGTTTTGACAGTACTCAGAGATATTATCAGAAAATTATTCTTGTTGTGTTTATAGATAGCACTTCTTATGAAATTCAGTCTTTTCATATAATCAAGTCAACGACTGTCAGCCTTTGTTTCTTCTCCACGAGTTAAATGTCAAATCTCAACAAGATCAACAACAACAATTGCTTGAATTAATAAATGGATGGAAAATTTTGTGAAGGTGTTCACAGGCTACGCACTAGAAAATATACCAAACAAGACAGAGAGTTCATAAGATCACTGCCCACCCGTTGGTACAAGGATTACAAAACTTTCTTAAACATGTTCATAGCATATTTCTTTCAGATTGCTAGCATTGAGGAAATGCATGTTAAAATGTACGGGCAAAATGTTATTGGCAGATTCAAGGGGAAAAAATGGCTCAAAATAAAAATGAGTTTCTCCTCGCTGTTAATATGAGCATAATTTTTGTACAATATAGACCTGAGAAACAAAGTCTACTTTCCATGTACCTTGTCCTGCTGAGAAACAAAGTCCCAATCGTCAACAAGTTGTTTTTTTAAGGTTGCTGGAATTTGAATCTTGACTAGCTTTTCAACAGAGACACTGCCCTTCTGACAATTAGAAACCTTCAATTAGCTGAATATTTTGAAATAGAGTGATGATAACAAAACTGAAGTTCAGGTCAATATCAAACAAACAGGCAAGTATCTGGTATCATGGAGAAAATGAAACAGAATTTTGATCACAATTCATCCTATTAACACTGACTACTTGTAAATTCATCAATGCTCCTTCATAACTCCTCAGATTTATTATATTATTTTTATCATTATTACAAAGTTCATAAAAGAGGAAACTGCATTTTTCCTTTAAATAAAATCTTAATTACAAAATCAGCATTTTTTTTTTTTTGGGCAAGGGTAATAAATGTATACGAATTTTTACCTCCTTGAAGTTGGAAGTAAAATAAAAATATTAACTCCTGTTAAAATTAGTTATAACCTATAAGAGGCTCACATGAAGACCCTATAACCTCAGCCACCTATCAATCCATGACAATTGTTGAAGAAAAGTACCCTCTTGCAGTTGCATTTTATAATCATGTACCAATTCTATAATTTGACCATACTTTAGAAGGGTAAAATGAAATTTCCCCATATAAAATTTAACAAAATGAAAACAACAGAAGAAAATTTCCCAGGGAAATCCAAAACAACTAATACACCTACCAAGATATCACAAAAAGGGAATCTGTGGGTGTAATTAAAAAGATAATGCAAACCAGACCTCAACTCCTGAATCATTCTTCCGCTTCTTCCCTTTAGACACTGGACATAGTAGACAAATTAGACTTAAACAACCATGCTCTAGTGGCACAAATTTATTACATGTTTGTCTAAAATTTAAGGAATCATGAACAATATTGCAACAAAAAAGCCCATTATGAGAGGTCTAACTGGTTAATTACAGCATTTGAAAAGACAAAAAGACATATAATAGCATAGAGATTAAGGAAAATGAAGTGCAATGCCAATTGTTAGACTTAGATGAACTATTTATATTGTAACTTGAAGTTCTTTCTACTTTGTAAGATTTCAAAAACTGCAGGATTTCAGTAACTCACTAGAATATCAGAAAAAGACATGCATTTCTCCTATCCATTGGCGACCAAAACGCACTATGTACCATTGCACAGTAGCAATTGAAATTCACAGACTATGAATCTTGTATTTATAGAAACTGGTGATGGTAATTAACATCTTAAGAAAACCAGCAAAGAAGAAAAACAGAGTAATATTATTGAATGTTGTATTATTATAATGCATAAAAGATGAGTGAAAGAAAAGGAAAATGGAACGAAATTTACTACATACCATTAGTCTTGATGTCCTCTTTATCCACTTTTGCATCTACAGAATCCAAAGCAAACATAGATTTATCAAGAAAACAAAAACAAAGAATTCATAGTATGAACTAGCCAACAGTTCAGGAAATAAAGATATGTTCCTGTATACATCTAAATAATAAAAAGGGTAATCCTCAAAGAAATGTCATCCTTTTTCACCTGTAGAATTTTTGGCCTTTGCTTGAGTTGAACGCCCTGACTTGACATTCTTGTCTACACCTTGTTTTTTGTCAAGAGCCTGCTGTTTCAGGACATTCTCTTCAGTATGTTTCATTAAACGGTCCTCACCCACCCATTCGTCCCAACTGTTAGAAAGACGTTTAATCCGTCATAATGATTCGGTGTTCCCTTTTAAAAAAGTCATAATTATCAATGATAGCAAATATCTATGGTGAAATAAGTAGCAACCATAACGATTCTCTCTTGTCAACATAGATGAATCAAAACAGGCTTGTCATAATACAATGTTAGAAAAGTTATTTGTCACCTTATGAACTGCTTTGGTTGCCATTGAACATAACAGGTACAACAATAACAATATGAAACCAACACAAGCTGAAAGTTTCAGCCTTAGCCCAAGACAGTGAAATTTGAACCTTCATAATTTGAAAACTGAACTTGAAATGAAATAAAACTTGAAATGAAATCAAGATAAGTTAAGGCACTCACTTTTTATTCCATCCCTGCAAAATAGAAACCAGTGAAGCAAACAAAAGTCAATAGCAAAATAGGAAATTCATTCAAAATTCTACTATTAATTGATTCAAGCTTTCAACTCTAAAGCTAAAACATTACATCAAACCCCAAAACTAGAGAAGACTCCAAAAAATATTTTATATATACAAACGAGTTAAGTTCTGAAAACAAGATCTATCAGGGGGGAAAGTATTGCGGATGAACTTACAAGGTAGTGAACAAAATATTTCCATTCATTCTTTCGAATCTCAGCTTTTTGTACCTAATGATCACAGAACACAGTAAATTGGGTCAATACTACCAGAAGGTAAAGGAAAAGAATATAAAAAGCAACTTCATCTGTTGAGGCCTCATATTTCACGCATATAAAAGGTTAGAACTTAGAAGACACAAAATGAATGAACCCTGGTTATAGCTTCAATTATGCATGTTACAGCAACCCCTAACTTTCATATTAGTCTAAACTTGAAGATTGATTTAACAATCTCAGGGCTAAGCAAATAATAATCAATCACAAACATATCAGGTCAGGCATCATAATTTGCTTCATACCTATACATGGAATAGCACTTTCAAAAGAGCAATTTAATTTAAAAATTAGAGAGATGTACTCCACTGAAGGGAGAAGTTTGAAGCCTGTAGAATTAATACATTATTATTGACAAGCAACTGGCTGTTACATGATGAAAGAAGATTCTTAACTTTGTTCCCATGTTTGGAGCAAAGGGGAGCCACAATACGTTAACAATTCAAAAATTATTCTTTTAATAGAATCAAAACGCAAATACCTTGCCTTAGAAATTGGAAAGGTATTAGAGTTACTGCAATGGAAGTGGATGAAGCATAAACACACCAAAAAGGAGCTGCGTCTGTCTGACACATGTCAAACATCTTTTATTAGATACGATGTAGCAACTTAAATTACATATGGATAGATTTTGTCATCTCCATGTCATGTTCCAGAAACCAAAATGATAAATATCTATAAATATTATTCGAAGCCGATCTTTAACGGGAAAAGTTTTCAATAAAGTTCAATGCGAGCAGCGACAATTGGTCATTTTGACGCCATGCAAAACAAACCCAACCTCGTGAAATTCATACAGTCAGCATTCTCATAAACACCCGTCTTTCCATATCGCCAGTGCAAATAATTAAGGAAAGTGTAGCGCTTCTGGTTTCCAACAACTTTTTAACGACAGCTTTCAAGCAAACCAAAATTAAGCAGAAAAATTTGCTGAAAGATTAAAAATGACCTGCTTCTCATTTAACAATCGAACATTCAAGCAAAGCTACACTCAGGAGAGCTGACAATTCCACGAAAAAGAACAAAGCGAACAAGCAGATCAAAATAGTAACGCAGTAAACATGAATTTGCAAGCTGCAAAGGAAAATGACAGGTACCTTTGCTTCGTAGATACGAGGACCATGATAGGCAAGTACTTTCTCGCCCTCGGAGTACATGCTAGAATTGGAAGGCGGAGTATTGCCGCCGGAGGTGTCGCCGTCCGTCGTGGACTCGTCCTTCGACGAGTTTCCCATTTTCGAGTTGGAGAGAGAAGGACTCCACCGTGCGAAAACTTGAAGCTGGTGTCCTTTTCGCCGAGAAATCCACAGTCTCTGGCGAGTAATTGCAGATTTTGGGGGGCGTCCGAAGTCAGGAGTCACAATGGAGAAATGAACAGAAATCGTTTGCAGTTATGGACCCCATCTGTTTCATTCCCCGACCGTTTTGATTGTTGGGCTTCATCAAGCCCAATAAGAAAGCAAATCTCAAGTGGGAATCTCTCTCCTGCTCATTATAAGTTCACGTTTGGCACGCAGAAGTATAATCTAAGAAGTGGGATTAAAAGACATCCCCCAAAATTTGGAAGTTCTATCCGCGGACTAAACTTGTGAGTTTAACTTTGTCGATCATATTTTTAAATAACAAATAAATTCTAAAGTAATTCTATATATATTGAAAATAAATTGACTTGATTTGGATGGAGAGAAAATAGGGAGGAGAAATTTATAAAAATAATACAAAAATTTATTATTTTCAGGAATTTTCTCTCCTAGTGTTTATTCTTTCCTATTTTTCTTTTTATTCAAACAAATAGAGTCGGGAATAAGGGTTGGGTCTGGAGGGCCGAGCTTGGAGGCCCTATTTAAATAAGGGTTTGGGCTTTAAAAATAATTTTTTTTAAAGTAATCAGGCTTAAGGTTTGGCTCTGATAAGCACTGTAAAAAAGGGTTCGGGTTCGGGTAATCCTTCAAGCCCTGTTATATTATTATTATTATTTTCTTCTTTAGTGAAACATGTGTTTGAAGCCAATGACCTACTTATCTGATCCTACACACATTATATTATTATTAATTTTAATTTCTTCTAAAATTAATTTAATATAATTTAATAAATATCAGTGTATAGTATAAAATTTTTAATATTTTTTATTTTTATATAATTATTATGTTTGTATATTTATAAAAAATGAATTATTTTTTAATCAAGATTTAAATTTTATTACTAGACTTCTAAATGTGTGTTGTTTAATTTTTAAAAAATTATAAAAATTTTATTTTTTTAATATCAAAATATTTTAATTAATTTATAATGTTTAATTTTATTTTTTTTATTTTTTTTGAAAAAGGGCTTACGGGCCCGGCCCTGAGCCCTTCACATAAGGGTTGGGCTTGAGAAACAGAGTTCAAAATAAAAAATTAGACCCACCCGTATTTCTAACTCTACAAGCAAACGGCTAATGTCTTATGGATCACATTGCTTAAGTGGACATTTGTGTATTCACTGTAACTTGTCTTCGTATGGCTTTTTTAATTGGCACGGAAAAATTCAATGCATACGAAAAAATGGTGGCAGTCCTTGCTGTTGTTGCCAAGGTTATTATTACATATTCCCCCTATTCAAAATATTAGTACTTTTTTAAAACAAATCTAGGTTCAAGATATAAATGTGTATTTGAATTAAAAAATTATAAATGAGGTTAGAACTCAATTGACAATATCTGATAATATAACTTAATTTATATTTAGATACTTTTTTTTAGAAGTCAATTAGATAAATTAAAATTTACTTGAATAATTTGATTCAAAAGCCAATTAAAATGCACAATGACAAAAATAGACATAAATTTTCTTGTATATATTTTTGTGACCAATTTGATATTTTTAGAAAAAAATATTAAACTTAAAATAACAATTCATAAGTAAAAAAATCTTAATTTTTAAAAGGGTATAATTAAATGATAAAATTCAAAATATTCAATTATGAAAAGCTAAAATAAACTCATAATTTACAAAGCATTCAATTTATATTATCTATAAGTTGATATATAATTACATCATGAACACGATGTATCTATCTTAACAATCTATGTAGATTTGATAAGGATGCCTCTCCCTACAAGTTTGCCAAATTTTCTTCTCATCATCTCTCCTTGCCAAGTAAGCTTCTTCTTCATCTCCTTCTCTACCTTTAATGTTGCTCGCATACCAAATTCACATGCATGTGCTGGTGTTGTGATTCTCCAATTAAAAATCACTTGCCTCTGAATGCTTGTATTAGGCATGAATGAATATTGAACTTGTTAAACTTTTTCTCAACTTATCCTTATTGGTCCTTGTTTTTGTTGCTTGAGATTAGATCTTTTCTAGTTAAAATGGTTGTGTCCATGCATGAGCTTGTTGAATGCTCTTATTAGGCATGAACTATTGATTTGTGCCTAGTTTGTAAGGGTTCAATTTAAGAATAGTGAATGCTAGATTGGCTAAAACCTTTTGATCTTTTAGTCAATATATTAGTATATCTTTTTTCTGTTCTATTGGCTGAAACCTTTTGATCTTCTTTTAATCACATACCTTTGTGGAAGCATGGAATGTTGTTCTTATGTTTAGATTTTGTAAAGAATATGCAATAGGATTTGCTTTAAGTTCCTTTTAAATAATTTATTAACAAGGGAGCTATAATTAAGTAGAAATAAATGATATCAAGATGGATAGTGTTTAAACTCAAGGTGGATTAGAAGTATGAGAATGAATGTAATGTCTATCTTGACATTATCAAAACACAGCACACAATACTGTTATGATAACCAGAATTAAGATAATTTCTTATATTAAGTTATTATAACACAAGGGTTTTCAAAAAAAAAAAGTTTAAAATTTAGAGTCCAAGAAACCCTTTTGAAATAATGTTTAAGCTCAAACTATAGTTTAAAATATATAAAAAGAAGTAACAGAAGTATGAAACATAAATTCATCCACACAATGATCAAAAGAGGGCAATTCTGATACTTTTTAAATCGAACTGTTTGTCATGGGCTCGTGGCACATGTGTCATCTACTATAGTGGATGCAACAGAGAGGGAGCCCTCTTGCTGTGCAATATGACGTGACGTATTTTGATATCATGACAGCACCTCCGGGCCAACTTCTGAAGCACGTTGTTTTACCATCCGGTATCTGATTTAAGTGATTCAAGTGTCCATGCATATTTCTTGAGCTACCTAGATATTAGAATTGATTTCACAATCAAACATTTTGCCATTCAAAAGTTAGACACTTGGGCACAAAATTACCCTTTTTCATTTTAAAACTCACCCCAAGGTGTCCAAAAACCAACCAAGTGCCAATAACCCTAATATCACTTGAACCAACTCAATTGAACTATAATATATTTAATTGATCAATTATACAATAACAATTACATTCCAAACATAATTTGGCCATTAAATCCCAATCTCACAATAATCAAGGGCATAGACATAATCACATACAACCATACCACACTTATCAATATACATACAAACTCCACAATAATGCCACTTGTACTAGTATTTCAATATCTTACAACCATTTCATTACAATTATATTATTCCAGGCCAAGATGCCCACAAATCATGCATTATTATGTAATGACCCTAAAAACAGTGGATGACCCTAAGTTGGCATAAGTTAATAAATAATTCTTTACATAATCAAGAGAGAGAGGGGGGAGAAAGCTATACAAACACAAGCTCCTCAAACCCTAATAGAATCATCTTTCTCTTTGTCTCTATTGGAACCTTCACTTGTAAAATATAACCACGAGAGTGAGTTAAGGACTCAATAACGAAATAATCTAATATATTCATAAGCATATAACAATAGCATACGGGTGTATGAAGTGGAAAGTCAAACATTTATTGAATGCTCATAAAAAACATGATTATCATATAATAACTCATACAATGCATGATCAACACTCTCCTTCTCATATCCTTATTATTCCCTCCAATTGAATCCATAGGCTAATAATACAATAAGACCAAATTCATGTGACTGAATCGGCCCAAGCTCACCAATCATGGGAGAGAAGCTTGACCAAAAGCACACCTATTTTGGAATACAAATTTTTCCTTTCTCCAATATCTAGGGTGTTGCATGCTTCATCTATCTTTAAGACAGTACTGGGCTTCCAAATAAGAAGGATTGTGCGTAAGACTGTGCACAAGGGCCTCCACAGTGCCAATATACTATATAAATTTCACACAATATCCTCTTACAACTTTAAGGTGAACTTTACCCTCTCACAATAATCATACTCATGCCATTTAAATTATACACATAATTCTTATTATGGATAATCATATAATATTTACTAACATTTTAATTTGCATTTGATTCCACAATTGTACAAATACATGTAAAAAGGTTTTATGTATAGAATAATACTTTAGTTTAATACCACTTCACATAATTTTTTCAAAAGTCATGCATAAATCAAGATTTTTATAATATTATATATATATATATATATATATTTTGCAAGCTTATAAATACTCAACCCCTTTGTCACAAAAAGATTTACCATGGCAAATTTATTACCCTTCTAGATTCCACTTGTTCAAAGGCCTGATCAATATTTAATCTACAATATTAAACATTAATCTTTAATTATAACTCTAATTCAATCCCTTTTTTAGCTTAGTTTTGGGTATTTATTATACTCAAATTTTCTCTTTAACATAAACGACACTTCCAACACACTTCAGAAATTCCATTTAACACCTAAATATGTATATAACACTAATTCTTCACCCACATTACTTCCAATTCTCACTCAGGGTTTAACCTTAGCTAAAAATCCTAAATACTACAAAATCTTTAAACCTAGGTTTAGAATCTTGATTCAACTCCCCAATGCCTTATCTAAGCTAATGAGCTTGGTCAAAACCCAAGGTAGAAAGAAAATAACATCCAAACTTGGCCTAAAACCTTAGAAATTTGAATGGAGGGGAAAAAGAGGGGAAATGAAGCTTACCCAATGGTTTTTTAAGCTTGTTATGCTCTTAAAAAGCCGAAGTGATGAAGTCTTAATAGTCACAAACTCTATCTCTGCCACCCTTTTCATTTGCTCTCTTTTTCCTCTTTAAAATTGGATGCAATTCATGCTTGATTTAACACAGAATTTGGACATGTGTTATGGCTTATGACACAGCAAGCCATTAATTCATTAATCACTAAAAATTTACCACTTTACCCTTATTTACACTTAAATTTTTAAATTTAAAGTTTGAGAATGTTACAACGAACCTATATATAGGTGGTATAATGTAAAATTATACTAAATTCTTTGGCATGATGATTACTTATTTCTTCTTAGTTGGCCAAGAATCTAATGAAAATAGGGATGTCATATACCCCTTTGGTGAATAGTAATCAATATTGATTGATGGTACTCATGTGCCATGCCTTGTTAGCCAATTTGAGCAAATTAAATTTATTGAAAGAAAGAGATATATAACACATAATGTCATGGTTGGGAAGGTACGATCCATAATGCTTGAGTATTTGATAATGCCATATTAACTCCTTCAATGAATTTCTCATATTCACCTCCGCGTATATTTTATTAAACTCGTTATAGTTATTATTGCGTTGATTTAAGGCTTCTCAAATTTTTAGACTTCCTTTTATTTATTAGGTAAATATTATTTGGTTGGTAAATATCATTTAGTTGATTTTGGTTATCCAACACCAAATGGATATTTTGGTCCATATCGTTCTAAACATTATCACCTTCTAGACTTTAGATGAGTTTCAAGATTTACAAACAATAATTAAATCCTCAATTATTATCATTTAAGTTTGAGATGTACTATAGAAAGGACTTTTGGGGTATGGAAGAATGGGTTTGAAATTATAAAACACAAGTTGAGATAGATTGTGCAACAATGGCAATGAGGGAAGTAATTAGATTGCCATCTTTTACATGCTGATCATAGGCAGTGAGGTGGCTAACATTAACATCAAAATCAATAGTTTCATGATAAGGAGACCTGTTGGTGAAGCAAAAATGATGGAAGCCTTTATTTGTAGCCACAAAATAAAACTTCTCACTTGTCTTGTCTATAAGTTCATGAAATTTTTCACCAGAAGGTCCCATTACCTTCAATTCAAAAAATAAAAATTTAACACTAACGTCCTTTATTGATCCCAATTAACAAGAAATACCATGAATCAAACTAACCCTATTTAGTTGAAAACGTAGCTACCTTTAAAACCCAAATCAAAAATGAAGTTTGGTTTTGTATAGTAGAAACTTAGGGGTAAATTATATTTGAACTCTGTTTCTATATTTTTGTTATTTAAGTTCTAAATATTTTAAAAGTTTAGCAGAAAATCATCAACAATTTAGTTGTTTATCACGGAAACTAGCTACTTGCAATTGAGGTTTCAATATTCACAACTGAGCTTCTAGTTATGAAAAGTTTCTATTTCTAACCAAGTATTCATAAACTATAAATCTATAATCAGTGCGACTAGAGAGAGGGGATGAGGTGGGAGCCACCTATCACCCTGAGACTACCTAACTTCTCTCTCTTTGTGTGTGTGTGTGTGTGTGTCTCCCCCATTAAAGGGATAGTCACTAATGGCATGAAGTTGCAAGTGAGAATGAACCCACAACCTCTCATTTATTGAGAAACTTACATGCCACTAGGTTATAAAGTCATTGATTTTTCTTTCTTTCTCATAACATTACCTACGTCTAACAACAGAGTTTAGATTCTTTCTCATCTTAGAATATATATAATGTATAGAAAAATGCCCATTTATCACTAAAAAATCTGTTTTAAAGCCATCATTGTTCAATATATCAAGAAATCTTTTGATGCAGGATTGGAAGGTAACTTCTAAGCATGTGTACAGCTATAAATAGCTTATCTATAACCATTGAACTAAGACTATTGGTTAGTTTAATCCTCAAAGAATTTGGACGCCTATAACACATCTTTATCATCATCCTCAAGTCAATTGATATATAAGAAAAGGAAGAAGATAAGAAGTAGAAACCACTTACTAGATTGTGGAAAGGCCCAAATTTAAGCTCTAAGGTCTAAAAATGACATGCCCTAACTCAATATCCTTCTTTATCTACAACTCTCTATCTCTCCTCTCTCGCACAAAAAGTCTAAAACTCTATTTATAAACCAATCAAGAGTCCTTGTTCGCGTGTAAGAGAATGATGATGGGTGATTCTCCTCATTCACCTTTATATCATGAGTGGATGAAATTACAACATTGCTCGTCCACCAGATTTGTGACCCAAGGCGACATAGTTCTCCCTTTGTTTTTATTCACAGGCAATTGTGAGCCTTTACAACTTTGATTGCGGGCAGGCGAGACCAAAATTTAGAATTCCCCAAAAATATCCCAATTGTGCAATCTCCCACCAAGTCCCACTCTAGTGACTATAAATCATCAATCAAGAAATAAGGATGTTGCACGTGTCAGTGAGAGTATATGTTTTTCCCATATTAATTTATCAAATTCACTATTAAGCCAACCACTAAAGATTTAGGGATTAATATATTTAGTCATTTTGTGAAGGAAAGTTGAGAGGGTGGAACGCATTAGATCTACAAATTATTAGTTTTATCCATTAAAGTTTACAGAGTCAACGTTGGCCATCACTTTGAGCTAGCTTTGTTTGACATGCATGCTCTTGTATTGAAATTAAAGTTCACATCCGTCGAAGAAATTAAATTAAATTAAATATATAAGTATTTTAGAAAAAATAAAATAAAGGAGCTTTTGCAAATATAACCTATATTAAAAAATCAAACCAAACAAACAGTCTAACATTTATTATATTTTGTATGATGGTTGATTTGTTATATTTGTCAATGATATATTATTGTATATCAACAATAAACTTTTTGTAAAGTTTCAACTTTTTAATAATAAACTTTTTGTATATTAATGTAAATTGGCTATACTTTTAAATTTTTAAAAATTTAGTCTATATTTTTTTATTACAAGATTTTTTTGACTAGTAGGTCAGGTTATCGTAAAATAAAATATCCAAGTTTAACAATTTTAAAAAAAATACCCTGAGTGCTGCTGACTCTTGCTAATATATATTTAAATGAAAATGAACATTAATTCCAATATTATCATGTGCTGGTATGTAATTTTAGCTCCTTCTTCGAAGAGAGACAATTTTGTATAATTAACTAATTCATGAAAATTTAACTTTCATATAGATAAATATATATGTAAGGAGTCAATAACAGGAATTATAAGCTATTAGGATTTATTTGTTGTAAATTACAAATTAATTATAAAAGATTGGCATGCATTTTTTCCGCGATGAACTTTTGTTCCATCATTGTACCGTAGGTACTGTAAAATAAAAATTACAAAGGCTTAGCATACAGCGTGTCTGCAAAGTTCCAAAGTGAACAGACAAAATAAAACCTATATTCAAACATTATACAATCATAATAATATTCTTGACGACACAACATTTGCAAGAACAAGAAAGCCAAGATGAAAAGCTAAAGAATTAATGTATAAAGAAAGGAATGAAGGAATCAACTAATCTGCAGCAAGTTGCTTGGTAATTAGATGGTACAAGGCCACTGGCTAGTGCCCTTGACCTGGGCTGGGACCAGAGTCCTTAACATCTCCAAGGGTCTGGCTGTGGGTAAACTTGTGTCCCTGTCCTCCAGGGCTAGGACCCGAGTTCTTAATTCCTCCTAAAGTTTCAGAGTTGGTAAACTTGTGTCCCTCACCAGGGGCACTTGGCCCCGATTGCTTCATTGATCCCAGAGACAACCAATCAAACACATCCACGTCCTCTTTGATGCCTTCGTTCACTTCCTCGATGATGCTCAAAGGACGAGCCTCTAAGACTGCGAAAACAGTGTTCACCAGCAGAAACAGAACCACCACGCCTTGAACTTTGAGGGCCGAAGTTGTCATGCTCTGGCGTTGAAATTAAGATATAAAAACTTTGCCCGAAATTTAAGACAGATATCAGAGACAGAGAAAGAGAGGAAGTGTTTGATAGATGTTTTTCAATTTGAGAAGGAAATGGAGACACTTGGAGTCCCTTAAATAGGAGGGCATGCATGAAAAGTTAAGAGAGGAAGGTGGGTTAGGTTGGCTTGACTCATGCATGTTTCAAACGAGAGGCTTGAAAATCTGTTGCCATGTTCGAAGCCAACGTGAGTGGATTGATCATATTCTCGGGGAGGAAGCAGCCGAGGAGGTTCCGAAAGTCCTTGACATACATGTATTTAATTTAGTTAGTAGAAGACCGTGGACAGGGATGAATCTGGGAGTAGTATTTTAAAAAAAAAGAAAAATTAAAAGAGAAACATGTAGTGGAGGAACAAATTTGAGGGAGGGTTGCGGGTCCAAATCGGATAGGTCGCGATCAGTTTCCCTTGGTTCGGAATATCAGAAAGACTGACATTGGGTGACGTCACTTGGCTTTGAATATCGGAATCAAAGTGGTTGAATAGCTGGGGCTGCATGCTGAGGCCAGTCAAAATTAGAAAAACGTCGCCTGTGACTGTGGATGGCAACTCAAAGGGCGCAAGTGAGGCGAAAGTTCATGGCATAGCGAGTGAGAAACAAATAGTATACAACTTCTAATCAAAGTCTAGTGAAGGAATAATAAATTTCCAAGAAGAAGGAAAGGTCGGAATTTAAAGCCACGTTCTTTTCTAACCAATCAATCTGATAGCTTTCTCTAAAATTCTTTTAATCCATGGGGGAAGGGCGAATGAAATTTTGTACGGACCTGCAAAGGACTCGTCCCCACTTTTTTTCTACGTTCGTCTCGTTTTTTCTTCATCTTCTTCATACGCGATCCCATCAATCTGAAGAAAAGATTTCTATCAGTGGTACGGACCACTGATATTCGAATAGATTATTTGTTTCCTAGAATTACAAGCATGGAGATATTATAGATGTTCATATAATTATTGTTCATGAAAAAAGAATTACAGGCATAAATTCCAGGGCAGAACCGTCTCTGGACTCTGGTCATTCGTTTAGATCCTTATGTGTTGATTCACTATGCCTTAACCTTAGATATTATTATGCAATTTTCTTCTGTTTGGCCCAATCAATTTTTGACCCAACGGTACGCCCCGTGAATGAACAAGTGTACCATTTCCATTTTGGGCAGCTGGGGTCGTCCTTCAGTATTCTTCTGAACCGGATCCCCGGACCCGGATGAATTCTATGGCAAGCGAATTAGAAACACCGATACACACACACCATGCCCCAATAATCTTTAACCAAGAGCCCCCAAAAAGAAAATCCAGAGACCCATTCCATGTTGGCCCATTTTTCCGTGAGAAAAATAATATAATATTACTTTCAATTTTATTTATAACTCATTTCTATCAATATCAATATAATAAAAATATAAAAAATAAAAGCAAATGAAATTATAAACATAATCTTCAAGTAAAAAGTGAAAAATAAACAAACTATATAATAGTATTTTTCTGTCTCTCTCTTTTATTTTACAAGAGTAGTTTAAGAATTTTAATTTAAAATAAAACAATTTCATTGATTAATGATTTATAAAGTGGATCACTTTAGGTTTTAAAAAGTGTCTAATAAACCAAACTGGAGGGAGTATATGAAAAGAAATTTCAAAAAAATTATTAAATATCACAATATTTTTACAACAAAATAATCAAATTAATCTAACAGGAGTGGCAGGATGTAGGAGCTATTGTCCTCAAAATAAATATTTGTTGGATGGGAAGCCTGATTCCCTGCCTTTGTGTGTGGGAAGCTTGCCTAACCTTTACAATATCAATTAAATATAATTAAAAATAGGTTGAAAATCAATTTTCCTCCTAAACATTTTTTATTAAGAGCACGGAGTATCATGTATTAAAAGGTAGGTTACTATATTTTTAAATAATTTTTTTAAGAACAAAGTCAACCTTTTTATCAAAGACATGTTATTTTTTTTATTATTTATTGATATAGAATAATTGTAAAGTTAACATGTAATGATAGCAAAGTATTTTAACCATTTGCCGTGGGTCAAAGCCAGAACTTGGAAGTGATTATGATGGCAAAATGATAGCAAAATATTTGTTATTACTGCATGCGGGTCCCAAAAATATTCCATATCAACATATAACAGAAAAAATGATGAGTTTCTAACTGGAGAGAGATTTTGCTCATACAAAAATTATTTAGGAGGATGTTGACAAAGGGCTCAATGCTGGTAAAAAAAAGTTTAGTGAGAAAAATGGTATTTAATCATTTTAAAAAAATTAATAACTTTGACACAAAATTAGAAGTTGCTTTTGGTGGACATGCATGGTTCCTGTCATTCTTTCAGTCACTGACGATTAAAAATCGTCACAAATATTAAATTCAGTCGGGAGATTAATCTGGTTTAAACCTAAAACATAATTTTCGCACAAATAAAAGCTCATTTGTTTTCAAAGACATCGGTCTAGTCTTTTTATTTTATAAATGTTTTATATTTTATAAATGTCGAATCTTTTTAAAAAATATTTTATATATTAAAAAAGGGAATATTAAGTTAAGAAGTTTTTTTTTGTGTATATGACATCTCTTATTTAAATGACGGTGGATATAATCTTTTTTATTATAAATAATAGAAGCTATGAAATAACAAAGGGGGGGATAATAGAAAGAATAAGAATAATGGAACAAGTAAAGAGAGAAAGTTAAAATGGAAGAGTGAGAGAACATTTATTATATTTATAAGGGATAATATAATTATTGATCTTGTAGATGAATCCAAAAATCATAATATGGGGGGCTGGAACTGAAATTTCATCTAAATATGGGGGCCAAACATTGATTTCTGCATTTTTTTATAAACAAAATTAAAACTTGTTTTTAAATAAAATTTGAAGTATGGGGAGCATTGCCCCTGTTGGCCCTTAGATTTGTTCCTGTAATTTGTTTTTAATATTTTCAGTTTTTATAATCCTTATAATTTAATATTATCATGGACCTGAAAAACAAACATCACACAATTTTACAAATGACATAAAATCTTATTAAAATTATAAAGATCGAAAGCACTAAAAAAAAATTAAGTGGTCTAAAAGCAAAATTCAATAAAATTATAGAGGATCAATGGTTATATTTTTCATATTTCAAATATTAACTGAAATTATTTCCTTTTTTGTTTTTTTAATTTTTTGGTGGGATACCAGTTTAAGAGCACTGAAGTGAACCACAAGGACATGGAGTAACTGGCAACTGAAATGATTTCTATTCACACGTATGGGTTCACAATTCTAACCCAATTAAAATCTATGACAGTGAAATAATTGATGATTATGAAAGATGCTAGAAGGTGATGGACATTACAATAATTACAATACTTATGACAGCTTTATACTAGTATGATATTTTTCATTTAGAAAGCCAAATAACCTTACTTTTTGGGCCCAAGCCACCATTTCTGATGGTCATGGCGATTTTCCTCTTCTTTTAATTATCGTTCAATCATATGAGCTACGGGGGAGTACTTGCCTAAACAGAGCATTTGCTTTTCTGTCCTTTGTGGAAAAAAATGTTTTTGGGAAGCAAATTGAATGCGGTGGTGGCAGGCTCTGATGAAATCAAAGAGCACAATCTGGCAAGGATTACGAGCGATGGCGCTAAGCAGTCAATTTTGAACAGCTCAGTGGAAGGTGATTGATGAGGACCGAGTGGGGGCTTCTTTTCTTGAAAACGAATTGCCAGCCAGCAATTCCTCAAGTCTTGAATTTGAATAAACCTGAAATCGCGAGCTATGTTCACCGTTCCCTTGTATGACTCTGTCTCTGTGAATCTCCTTCCGGGATCAACCTCAATTATATGTTCTTCCTCGGTCCCTTTCTTCTTCTATTCTTGTCGCTTCTCCTTTTGCTCTGATTAGCCCTAATCAATATGCATGTTTATTATTCTGTTTTTAGACCAGTCAATTCCCTCTCTGTCTCCCTCGACCCTTGCTTTGTGATCTGGGGTTCTCCACTGGACCAGAGAACAAAGAAAGTTCTAATCAGACCGATGAGCATACTCTCCATAGTTCCTATTCAAGCAACTCGCATCAAGACCAATGAACTTGTTTTACTGCTTGCTGCCTGTCAAGTCTTTAAACAGTACCATGTATTGCACCCTCCATATAAACGCACCCAAAAAAAAAAAAAAAAAACCAAGGTTAGTGTTGGAGATAATCGCTTGCCAATTCAAATAATACACGTTTAGGGAAGAATAAGAACCCAGCCCAAAAATGATAGTAACAGAAGAAAAATCCAGGAATAAAAAGGCTCAATTTTTGGCGAGATGGAACTTCTGATAAAAACACAACGAGGGGAAAAGAGGCAAGATTATTGGTAAAATTACATATTCCGTTCAACTCCTTTTACCAGAAGATGCTTAGATTTTTAGGCTCTTTGGATTTAAATAAAAAAAAAAATGATTGGAAACCACCAATTGAGGATTCTGCTATCTTTGAGCTTGGATGCACCATTCTGTCGTCCATCGATTTCAAAAAGTGAAAAAGGAATAAGAGAACATGCACTTACTAGCCCTTTCCTCCATTAATTCGTTGACGCACGCACACCCCACCCTTATGTTTGTGCTACAGTTGTAAACCTGTAGATTCTTTCCTTCCCATTTTCATCCTCTTCACGTATAGAAAGAAATAGCCCGATACAATTTCCTAACTAATGACTGAGTGAATTATGAAAGCCTCGAGACAACACAAATTTATTCATTTAGTTCTATCCGCAGAAAATAAATAATTGAGAATCTTGCAATCTTTCCTGTCAGTGCAAATTGTGAGGATGTAAACCCGAGTCCAAAGCCCCCGCTGGCTCATAATCACCTTAGCATATTGATTCCGCCTCCACTTTTGCATCAGGTACCCACTTTCCTCACTATATCAAAATGCACCAGAAGCTTGGAACGCTTCGATCCTGCGTGTTTCCCAAGTCACAAAGCCATTCTCTAAAGTCAAGTTTTGAACTGACTCATATGGGAAGGGTGGTATTGGGTGGCAGTGACTGTGCCTGATTATTTCCTTCATATAAGAAAAGTTTCAGTCAACTTATACTGCCTTTAAGAGGTCCCACCCCTAAAAGCCCTTCACCGTCCATTTGCCCTTCCAAGCTCCTCGTTCATATGCAAGAGAACGCTTAGCATGCTCGTTGGAGATGCCAAACCTATCTTTTCAGCAACACCACTTTATTTGGGTATAAAAATTCCACGCGTTTCGTTGCCAATAGGGTTGGGAGGGACTGCTTCTGCCAACTCCAGAATGAGAAGGCTCTCTTTTCCTTCTGATGGCCCTCATAATGATGATGATGCTATCTTTGACAAGGCCAACTCTTGTGAATGGTCGAGTTCTTGCATCGACGGTCAAGGAACAGAGGGCCAATATTCATGAACCTCGGGAACAGCCAAGTAGCCCCAGGGGGATTTCCTCAGTAGAGAAGGAGACCGACAAACCTGCAGAAAACCAAAGCGGCCGGGTTTTGATGGGGAAAGAATTCCATACAATGGCTTCAGGGCCTAGCAGAAAAGGTTCTGGTCACTAGCAGCCTTTCAATTCATGACTCCTACATGTTTTTTTATGTTAATTTAGTTATTTGGTTACATTTGGATTCATTATAGAGCAGCTCTGTACATTAACTAAGGAATGTATAATCTTGTCTATAAGATAATCGAGTGTTGAATTTATAGCAGACAAGTTGAGTATTTTTTTAAAATTTGCTAGTCACACGACAATTTTAGGGTTTGAATTAATGAAAAAATAGAGGTTCTTGGCAGCACAAAAATAGTAACAAGAAGGTGATCTTGAACACTTGTGAGTGAAATAATCTGCTGGAGCAGCTCATACCAAATATTTCGAGGCAAGTGGAGCATGTGACATTTCAGGGTGTGATGTGATTACAATAAACACCAGGGTAAGTTATCAAAGCTACAAAATTTTGGTTGTAGTGCAAAGTACATATAAATTACACATAGTCCAAACAACCAAATAAGTGTTCGTGTGAAAGATACCTCGAGCAAAGGATCACCTGAATGAGAATGTTGATAAAACCTATCAAATGGCTAAAGGTTTTTATTACTACAAACACATCATGTTGATGACAACGTGTACATAGGATTTATGCACATGCCAGGTTTATACTCTATAGCACTTCACTGACATAATTGAATGGGTACTTCATAGATTTAGCGAGGTTAGGCTTCAAAGGTTGCAAATCCGTACTGAGGTTCATGCTTGTGATCCCCTGTTCCATTACCCATCATCCTGTGTCAGTGCTCATTCTATATATGTCTAGTATGACATTAGCCGTGTCATCAACACAGTTTCTGAGGAGTCATTCTCCATCGATCACAAAAATTTATCACCGATCTGACATTTGTTTTCATAGCTTGATACAAACTTTAATACAATCACAACAGGGGATCACAGAAAAACAGAATATACAATTAGGCAAGCTATAAATAAAAACTGCAGCTACTCTACCTTGTACGCTTAAAAAAAGAAAGTTTATTCTGCCTTGAAGGGCTCGACAATGATAATCTATCTGGCATCATCAATCTTCAACTGTGAGAAAACTGAACCCACTGCGCTATTGGATTCATCTTCCCCCATCATGGACATATCACCTGATTCACCGAGTGTAGAAAGTGAAGGGAGTCGACGAACATTGGGCAATTGAATTGACACAGAAGCACCGCTGGAACTGTCTTCATGGGGTTCTCTCTGAATTGTGCCTCGCTGAAGCTGTAATGCATACTCCAAGTCCCACAACATATCACCCATGCTAGGCCTATCAGAACCATCTTCTTGCAAACATTTCTCTACTGTCTCGCTAAATTTCCTGAGCGAGTTTGGATCTATTTGCCCCTTGATGGAAGGATCTATAATCTCTTGGACCATCCCTTTGTTCTTGCAAAGGATTCCCCATTCAGCCAAGTTCACCTGCTCCCTTGGCAGCATAGGGTCAATGGCTGGTCTTGCACACAACACTTCAAGAAGTACCACGCCAAACGAGTAAACATCAGATTTTTCTGTTAACTGTTGTGACCGAAAATACTCAGGATCTAGATACCCAAAAGTGCCTTTAACACCTGTGCTGACATAAGGTTGATGATCAAGAGGGCCTGTTCTTGAGAGGCCAAAGTCAGCGACTTTAGCAACATGGTTTTCATCAAGCAATATATTTGTGGACTTCACATCCCGGTGAATGATGCCTCCTGATGCTCCCTTGTGAAGGTAATGAAGACCTCTTGCAGCTCCAATGCAAATCTCAAGCCTCAGCTTCCAAGACAAGCTTGGAAGATCTGAATTGTACAAATGATCCCTCAGTGTCCCTTTTTCCATATATTCATAAACCAAAATCATTTCAGACCTTTCATCACAATAACCAATCAAGGAAACAAGGTGCCTGTGTCGAATTTTTGAGAGAACCATAATCTCTGTCTGGAATTCTGGAAGGCCTTGTCCTGACCCAGGCTCACTTCTTTTCACAGCCACTCTCAAACCATTCCTGAGAATTCCCTTGTAAACGTTGCCAAAACCACCCTTTCCAATTAATCTTTTTGTATCAAAGTTGTTTGTTGCAGATTGGATCTCAATCAAAGGGATTTTGAGCCCAAGATTTAAGTTTGGAAGAGGGGAGCCATGTGAAGTTCCTTCAGTCAATCTGCTGTGAGAACTTCCTCCTCCATAAAATGGCAATGGTAACCAATCCGAATTCTCGACAGGCTTAGGTTCTTGCTTCCTAAACTTCATTCGCCAAATTAAGAACCCAGCTAGTATAACAGAAATTAGGACAAGACCTCCAACTCCAAGCGATAACCCCAGCACTAGAGGGAGATGATTATTCGCATTGGATTCCTCCAACGGAACCGAATCTGAAGAATCAATGATTCTCATAATTTCTAGTCCGTTTAAATACGTATTTCGAACTGGAGAATCAAGAGGAACTACGCTGATATTCACGAGTCCAGAGTTATCAGGATTGACCACATAATCATAATAAAATGGAACAGGCAATTGGCTAGATATGTTCACGGAATCGATCACATCCCTGAAGTTGTTGTAGATTGATAGATTGAAGTACGTAAGGCCTGGAGAACTACTCTCTAAATCACAGAAGTGAACCCGAACAAGATAATTAGCTTTGTTTTCTACAGCAAGAACCCAGGTTATGTTGAAGAAACCAGAGCCATTGGAATCCAAATTAACCTTTTTGGCACTTTGGTAAATACTATCTGGGGCAGTATACTTAGTAGCCCAATTATAGTCATCAGGCGCAGAATTTTCGTCCCGGTATGTAATACCAACAGCGGAACTCAACCGTTCGGCAGCCTGTGGATTTAACAAATGAGGATCATCTATTTCCCATAATCTCCATAACCCATCTTGGCTTCTCGAGACATTAGGGCCTCCAACATTAAGCCTGTAAGTCATCTGTAACACCCGAGACCGCAAACCCGTATAATCCGCAGAATCGCCATCGGGTCTTACAGTCGTAGCACCATCAGGAATCAAATAATCGGGGAGAAGGAAGAGTTCTATGGCATTCACAAATGCAAATGATGATTCCAGAGGCCTGAAAGTGATTTTGAAGTCGGCGGTGGAATTGATGCTTGTGAAGTATTCTTTTACTAAAGGAGAATTGCTAGCATTTTTGGCAGCGAAATTTTGCAAGAGCCAGAACCCAGGAATCGAAACATTGAAGCGAGCAGTGGGGAGATTACTTGAGGAAGAGAAAGCAAAGAAGTGAAGGCGTACCAGATAAGAGCCAGAAACATCGATTGTGAAGTCGTACGAGAATTTCTGTTGGAAGACCCTTGCCTTTTGATAAATAGGAGATATGTCCGATGACCCGTTACTTGCTTCCTGGACGCTACTCTGCTTTGGAAAGGATAAGGAAAGAGAAGAATCCCCCACGAAAACCTTCCCGCTTTCTGTGTCTGTTACGTTGTTGTTTGACCCACAGCTGATAAAATACTTATCCTGAACGGTGTAGGCTGATGAGAGGGACTGAAACCATACCAGCTGAACGAGAAGATGAAGAAGAAAGAGAGAGAAGTGAACTCTATGGAATTGAAGATTTCCCATGGAAAAGAAAAACGGTAGTCTTAGTCTAGTTATCAATCGGATTATTGCATTTCTGAGAATGGGAACTATGAACCCTGGAGGATAGAGGACACGGAGAAGAAGGAGAAAGACAATGGGACACCGGTTCGTCAGCTATGAACCGTGAAGTTGACTTGTCACCCACTAGGGACCAGTAATATTTTTTTATCTAAAACCCAATAGGAATATTTGTGAAATAGAAAAAGGGCTGCAGAGTTGAGTTTTAATAAAAATGGTATCGTCCAATGAATGCAATGCGGTGGCGTGCTGATAGTTAGACTGATGGGGGGCGAGAGCAGTTTAGGCGTGATCACGAAGAGCTTGAGTTGTCCTCTTGCTCTACGAAGAGAGTAAAGTAGAATTCATGATTCGCAGAAGAAAAAAGATAACGATATACGAATTATGACGTGGCCACTGCCGTGAGCGTGAGGTAAATCACCAAATCAAGCAGATACTTATTGAATGAAGAAAGGGAAAATTGCTCAAGAAAACCCGAGTAGGATATTTATTGGACTTGGAATTTGGAAAATGCATTGAGCCTTCGACAATATGTTTAAGAAATTAAATGACTAAATTACCCCTAATTAAATCCTCCTCTCCTCTTCTGCTTCCGTATGATTTCTGCCATCGTTCTAGCCATGACTTCATGATTCCTACAGCGGTGATGTGCGGTTATGATTCCAAGGGGGGCGATGACAAGGAAGGGTGAGGTGAGGTCTTGGTTTTGAAAAAGATGGAAGACAGTGAAAAACGACGAGCTCCTATATTTGCGATGGTAACAGTGACAACAGTGAAAAGAGGAGGGAAGAGTTAAGCAGAGGGGAAAAATCATTCCACTCTCCATCATATGCCGTCCACTATTTGTTGACCTTGCGTGGCTTTTCTTGAGCAAGAAGTGGAGAAGGTTTGAATCGCTTTTTCTACTCCTAGAACTGGTCAGATTTGTATTTTACCTATTTTTTGAACACTGGGTGGTTGCATTTTTTCGTGGGTTGAGGTTTGCTTCTTTGCTTGGCCAATTCATAATATTCAAGCAAATTGGTAGTTGTTATCTGTCTTGGGAATCTGCCTTGAAATGGTTTATTAGCAAGTGTTGGGGGTAATTAGTTGTGCTAATTTACAGCTTAGGTTAGGCACTCCAAATTGCTTTTTTGTTAACTTTCGCTGCTGCAATTTTAACAAAACTTCCTCATCTTTTCGCCTGTTATTATTCCAACTTACAAAGACTTTATGCAGCTCCCATTAGCCTTATGCGTTGCTTCAGTCTACAATTCTATTGAAGTCTATTACCTTTTTTTTAGTATTATTACCATTTTTTTTTGGAGTCAAAACCAAAGTATTGTTACGTATCATTTGTATCATGCCAAAAGTTTGAAGGATTAGTCTAGTGTAGCATGCCTTCCATGTGTGGTTCATAGAGTTGTGTATTCTGATAATTTGATTATTTTGGTGCATTTTAAATTGCTATAACAATAGCTCTATTTCCAATCATATTTAATGTCATTAAATGTAGCATAGGTTTTATGGAAGAAAACTATCTCATTTACTACAAAATGGCATTATCTTAAGGATTGTTGTGAGTTGATATTTATTACAGGGCATATGAATCCCTTTTCTAGAATGCCACAAACTTAGAGATTGCAAGTTTATGAAATGTTGCTTTTTAATTCTTTTTACAGATGACAGTGATTAATCATATAATGTTTACTTGGCCTCTATGCCTGATAGTAAAATAAGGTCTTTGCTTCCAGGGTTAATATTACATAAGGTCACAAATTATACATAATCTTTGCCTTTGATATGTCGTTTCCCTTTCCCCTTGAAATAGGAAGATGGTAATTAGACCTTTAAGATGGAGTATCTGTTGTAGGGGGATTGATGCATTATTGTATATATTGATTGAACACAATTTGATCCTATAAGGTTAGTCTATATAAACTAGAGCCAACCTTCTTAACTTTTTGTAGATGCCGGATAATGTATTTTTAAAAATCTACAAAATCATATATGTTGAAGTTCATATGCCTTTTCTAATTCTATGACCAAGGATGCAAATTTTATCCTCACATGTCTTGTCAAAATGTCAATGATTTGAACCTTTTTTATAACTTGGAATTGGTCATGAATGAGTTGAGAAAATGGAAGCATGATTAAAAGAAGACATTCTAAGGGAAGTGGATAAGTATGAAAGTGCCATACTGGTTATTCATGAAACAGATGAAGGGGAGACATTTGATGCTAGGAATTGTCACCTCTAATGCAATTCAAACGCCACTTGAAGTTTATAAAGTGATTTAATTACTGGAAAGGGATGAGAAAGAGATGTCATTAAGCATGGACCTCTTGGACAAAAGCAAGTTATAAGAGAAAACTTCTATAAAATATAATTTATTGATTTGTAATTATAATAGCTTGTGGGATGAAGATTCTAAAGAGAATTTTATTGAATTATATTTTCAAAACTTGCATAAATAACATTTTGTAAAGATTGTATAGATAATATTTTTTTTTCAGGTTTTATCTCTTTTGGATGAATCATTTTTCCTATGATTATGTGTATCATGTATTATTATGTTGTCAAGGAATGCAAGAACATATTATTGTTTAATGGTAAATAGATTTGTTGATGTTCAATTATTATTTTTTTATGCTTTAAATTGAAATTGGAAGCTTTGGTACCATAAACACAGTTGGAATTGCCAAAAAAAGGCAAGGGATTGAAAAGGAACATGAGATTAATAATATTTGCACTAACAATGTTGAAAGTGTAAAAATTTTAGAATATTCATAAGTATTTTCATAAAAAATAATACAATTGTCAAAATATGCAAAATGCATATTTGAATATCATTTGCGCTTTTAGAATATTCATAAGTGTTTTTATACAATTATCAGAATATGCAAAATGTATATTCAAATATAAGGTGTATTCTGTGTAAATTTTTAAAATAACTATTCACATTTTCAGAATATTCATAAATGTTTTTATGAAAAGTGAGTACAATTTTTAGAATATGCAAAATGCATATTCAAATATAAGGTGTATTTTATATAGATTTTCAAGATAACCATTTGTATTTTTAAAATATTTATTAGCATTTTCATGTAAAATGATATAATTTTAAGAATATGCAAAATGCATATTCAAATATAAAGTCCATTCTATGTAATTTTTTAGAATATACATTTGTGATATTCTGAAAAAATAATATTAATGCAATATTCAAACCTCAAGTTTAAGCTATATTCAACTATACATTTTGGATATCTTAAAAATATAATTTTTCTTTCATTTATTTAAAAAATTATTTTTGATATTTTTAAAATTTTACACTTAATGTCATATTTTAGGACTATATGCAAATTATCTTTAACCATATGTGATCCTTCTTTAACAATATGCAAGTAGAGTCAGGAATAAGGACCGAGTCTTAAGGACCACCTGTTTAAGTTCATTTTTATAAAGGTTTGGGCTTAAAAAATAATATTTTTTTTTAAAAAAAATTGAGCTTTCAAGTTTGGCCTTAATAGGTCTTAAAAAAAAAGTTTGGACTCGAGCGGCCCTTTTAGGCTCGTTTTTGTTTTTCCCTTAAGAATAAGATTTTTTTATTTTTAAATTGAATCTAAACTTTAGAATATATGTTTATATTTTAAAATGAGAATTTTTATTATTTATTTTTAATTTTAAAATAATATAATTTGTATTTTTAAAAAACATATGAAATATTATAATTAAAAACTTTAATTTTTAAAAATTTTTAAAAATAAAAAAATAATAATAAGGGCTTACAGGCCTGGCCTTGAGCCCTTTATATAAGGGTCGGACTTTAAAAAATAAGGTATTTTAAAAAAATTGGGCTTAAGGGCTTAAGTCTTTAAAGGCCGGACCCGCCCGTTTTTCAACTTTATATGTAAGCATCCTTCAAGGAGTTGCAAATAACCTTTCATTTATTCAAATATATAAATGTGTTATTCTACTATATGGAAGAAATTTACATTTCATCGAAGATTAGTCACTTATTAAGGAAGAAAGATTGCATATGCTTCTAAAAGCATCTATAAGAAAAATTAATGAGTAATATTCAAATATGCAAAAACATTATTCATTTTACATATAATTAAAATTCAAATGCATATAGTGGAAGAATCACTGCATATGATTGAGGACTCTTTCTTCTGGTATTTCAAAATTATTTTAGGTTAAAAATTTTTTGAATATGCAAAAGCACTATTTGAATAAATGAAAGTTTTCTCGCATATAATTAAAGTTTAAATATATATATAGTGGAAAAATTATTACATATAATTAAAGATCTCTACTTCTAGTATTCCAGAATGCTTTTAAGTTAACATGTTTTAGAAGATGCAAAAGTGTCATTCAAATAAAAGGAAGTTTTCTTACATATAATTAAAGTTTAAATACATATAGTGAAAGAATCACTGTATATAATTGAAGACCCCTGCTTTTAGCATTCTAAAATGTTTTTAAATTAAAAAATTTTAGAATATGCAAAAGTATTATTCAAATAAATGAATTTTTTTTATACATAATCAAAATTCAAATGTATAGGGGTGAACAGACAACCCACAACATACGTGTACCTTTTAAAAATGGGCAACTTCATTAAAGAAAAAATGGGCAGGCTATAATTATGGGCTAGCCCATTTTTTTACATGGGTGGGACAAGCTATGGGTTAGCCATCAGGCTTCATATCTTGTCCCATTTAAAATAAAATAAAAAAGCAAGCTGGTAGTCTCTCTTGCAGTAGCACGCTGTGTTTGATAGTTTTAGAGATAATGATTTTGACTCTCCTAAACCAAAAACCCTTGGTTCTCATCTTCAATTCTTCACTCTTTACCTCACTCCGTTGCTCGCTGCCATTGCTTTGTGTTCAGGTTTAGCTCAAGAGTTCAGTTGCTGTCGGCTACCTTTACCTTACTCACTAACACTGGCTCATTCTATCTCTCATCTTTGCCTTACTCGCTAATGGCTTGATGCTGGCTCTCATCTTCAATTCTTCACTCTTCACCTTACTCCGTTGCTCACTGCCATTGCTTTGTGTTCAAGTTTAGCTTAAGAGTTCAATTGCTGTCGGCTTCCTCTACCTTACTCACTAACACTGGCTTAATTTGTCTCTCATCTTTGCCTTACTCACTAACGGCTTGATGCTGGCTCTCACACTTGGCACTAACTTGGACAAGGTCACCATTCACAGTTACTTGATACTCAACTTTAAGCCTTTGCACAAACGATTAGACTACCAAGTCCTA